TGCGCAATTGGCTGCCGTGTTTCGCCCACAAATGTACAGTCAATTCACTTTACAGCATATTCTGTGAAGCGCTTTGAGACGTCGAAGACGTGAAAAGCGCTATATCAAATGCAAGGATTATTATTATATTAATTGAGGAAAGAGGGAAGATGACCGTAGATATGGTCGAAGAGAAAGGGCACCAGCCCTTAGGGATAATTGAATGCCAGTATAAAGCTGGGGGTTTGGGCGTGTGAGAGGAAAGTCTGGAGAAGATGGATTTATAGAGGTAGAGCCCCTTGTTAAAACAAATTGTTTTGGGGGGTTTGACCCACACCCTCCTACAGACAGCCATGAGAACTTGGAGTCCAGGTGATTTTATTACTTGAGTTCTTTAAGAAACAGCTTGATATTGGGTTTGGAAGACTAAAAGAGAGGTACTTTGATAAGTAAACAAACATTTTTTTCCTTCCATTCAAATAATAATCCCTTCCTGGATTGTTTTGTGCCCACGTGAAGTACTTTACATTTTTCTACATTGAATTTCATCTTCCACGATCCGCCCAATTCCCAAGTATGTTCAAATCCTCCTATAACCTATCTTGTTCAGCTTTGCAATCTACCACCTTCATTAGATTTGCAAAATGAGCCACTGTGCTTGTGACTCCTAGTTCTAGATCATTTATAAAATATTAAACAAAAGAGGAGGCCCCAAAACAGACTTGTTTTACTCCACTGGTGACTTTTTCCCAGTCTGAAGACATTCCTTGTACCACCACCCTCTGGGTTCTACTGGTCAACCAGTTACATATCCATTGTAATACTCTTCCACTGATTCCTGCTTTCTTTACTTTCAGTAGCAGCCTCTCAAGAGGAACTGTATCAGAGGCATCACTGGAATCCACATGTACAATATCCAAGGCCTTATCAAGTTCCTTTGTCACACTGTCAAGGAAAAACAGTAAATTTAGATTGGCAAAACCTCCCATTCATAAATCCATATTGGTTATCATTTATAACTTTATTTCTGCCCAGGTGTTCTTTGATTTTTATCCTTGATAAAGGATTAAGCCTCCACCCTCAACTCCAGGACCACTGCTGTCCTGACAGACTGTCTGTCGGACATCAAGTCCTGGATGAGGGGAAATTTCCTACAGTTGAATGTGAACAAGACTGAGGCCCTCCTGATTGGCTTCCGCCAGTGCCTCAGCACCTCAGGCTCTGGCAGCATCAACCTCCATGGTTGCACTCTACAACTCACCAACCCAGTCAGGAACCTGGGTGTCTTGTTCGACCCTCAACTGTCTTTTCTTCCCCACATACAAGCCATGACCCGCTCTGTCTTCCCTCACCTCCGTAACATCGCCCAACTCCGCCACTACCTCACCCCTCAGGCCGCTGAAACTCTTGTTCATGCCCTCATCACCTCCAGGCTTGACTATGCAAACGTCCTGCTTGTCGGCCTTCCCAACTCCTCCCTCCACAGGCTGCAGATAATCCAGAACTCTGCAGCCCGTGTCCTCTCCCGCACCAAACTCCGTGACCCCATCTCCCCCATTCTCGCCCGACTCCGTTGGCTCCCTATCCTTCGGAGGATCCAGTTCAAGATCCTGGTCCTCATCTACAAAGCCCTTCATGGCCTCGCCCCACCCTACCTCTGTGACCTCCTTACCCCCTACTAGCCCTCCCACTCCCTCCGCTCAGCCGGCTCTGGCCTGCTGCATGTCCCCTGACCCATCCGCCCCACCATTGGTGGGATAGCCTTCAGCCACTCTGCCCCAACCTCTGGAATTCCATCCCCAGTCACTCTGCCTCGACCCCTCCTTAGACTTCTTCAAGTCCCGCCTCAAGACCCTCCTCTTCGACCATGCCATCCCCACCCCCCTTTCCCTCCACTCCCTTCTCTTCCCCCCCAACCCCAGCTTGGGTCTGAAATGCTGCACAATGTCCAGCGCCTTGAGACATCCTCCCGATGTGAAAGGCGCTATACAAATGTCATCTTCTTGTTCTTGTTGTTAATAAGAATCTCCATAATTTTACCCACAATGAATGTCAAATTTGCTGGTCTTGTATCCTGGGTCACTTTTGTTAACTTTCTTAAAAATAGGAGTAACATCTCCAGTCCCCCGGCATTCTCCAGTGTTCAGTGATTTGTGCCAGCATTTCTGCAACGCATTCCCTTCAGGACCCTTGGCTGCAATTTATCCGGCCCCTGAGATTTATTAACTTTAAGTTTGTCTAGCTGTTTGGCAACCATGCTGCTTGTGATATGAATAGTGTTGCTGTGAAGCGCTTTGGGACGTCCTCCCGACGTGAAAAGCGCTATATCAAATGCAAGGATTATTATTATTATTATTATTATTATTGCAACTTTCCTCTATGACGTCCTTGAGTTCTCTTTCCAGATCAGATTGGTTACCTGTCTGCTCCTCAGTAAAAACAGAAACAAAGAACTTATTTAGCACTATTGCAGCCTGTGCAACGTTATTTGTCATGTCCTCTCACGATCCCACATTCATTGGCCTAATTCCACTGCTTGTTTTCTTTTTCTCTTAATGTAACTGAAAACCTTTTTGTTAAAATTCTTCACATCTCTTGACATATTCAATTCAATGTTTTTCTAGGCCATTCTGATGATTTTTTTTACAATCCTATCATGCCATCTGGTATTGAATCTGATGTAATTCTGTGCCATTTCTCTTCATTGGCCTTAAATGCCTTTATTCCTCTTGATGTGTTGCTTTGTAGCTCCGTCCAACCGGGCAGGAGTGCCTTTAATCATGGTACCTTTGGTTCCCATGGGTACACATTGTTCAATTACATTCATCAACATCTTGTTGAAGGAACTCCATGGCTCCTCCACTCCATTTGCCCTATTTAAGCCTGCCAAGCCCACTCAACCAAGATATCTCAAGCGCACAAAGTCGTTCCTCTAGAAATTCGGTCATGGGTCTCGGCGGCATGCGTCTCGGGGGGGTGCTTTTCGGGGACGTGTTGGGAAATTCAAATCCCAGGGTTCGGAACAAGGACTTGACAAAAAAACAAATATGGCATGGTAAAGTTCTTTGCTTTTAATTCACAATGATTGAATGATAAAGATACTTAAATGAGACTTTATAGGCAACAGGTAATTGATAATTAGATTATAGGATGTCAATCATTGCCCTAAGCAAGATTATTGCAGTTAGGTGAAATACACGTTCAAATACTTGCAATTAATATATATAAATATATATGTAGACATGCAACGGTTTTCCCAAATTCTGCACGTCTCTCCTGATTTCAGCCCTGACCTTTGGTCTGACCGGACAAGATAACTGATGTTTTTCTTCTTTCATTTACCTCCCTTAAGTCCTGTTTGTGCAGGAGGCCCATAAGGTCAGCTTCAACCTTGATGTATCAAGAAACATCTGTCTCCTACTTTCTATTTTACCAGCTTGCTTCTTTCTTTCCTGCTCATTAACTCATGCAACTCTATCTAGTTATGATGAACAACCTCCTGACTACGACATGTGTACTGAACCAAAGTTATCTTGTTTTCTTCCATTTTCCCTCCTTTTGCCAACGTACGTCCTCCCGACGTGAAAGGCGCTCTATAAATAGAATCTTGTTGTTGTTGTACGTACGTACGTTTTGAGCACACATCAGTCTGTTACCCCAGCTCGTGTTTCTCTATTTCTGCTAATTGCTTCTCTTGAGTTTCTGTCTGACTATTGTCCTGATTCATTGCTCACAACCTCCAACATGCACCATCTGAGAGTACTGAATTGGTACTTCCTTCAACATCCTGATGGTTCTCCACAATCAACAATTAACATATGGATTAACATAGAAGAGAAAAATCTGTTTTATCGTAACCCTAACATACATTTTATATTGATACCATTTTCATGCATTTTTATATGGATACAGTCTCCTCCCAACAGGCGTTTGTCTCGGGGGCATTTGTCTCAGGATTAGGGGCATAGTGGTTGAATGTACAGGCCCCGATGATGGCGGAAGAGTCATGCAGCAGGCAAGTGTTAGCCTTGCGGAGGGAATAAGCAGACGAGTTGGAGTGTGAGCACATCAAAGAGGTTGGATTGTGGGAGAGTGTGAAGGGATATGTACTTGAGGGTGAGGCCAAATATAATTCCATAGATATAAATCCATTTGGCTGACAGGAGAAATCGAGGTGGGAGGTGACAAAGGCGTAAAAGAGGGTTTCAGAGACCTTTGAGATGAGATAGGATTGGAGGCAGAAAATGGAGTCGAGATGGAGGAAAGCAATCCTGGTCAATGACCGACTGTGGGTAGCAAGGACAGCTGGGGATTGGAGCTGGATGCCAAGGTTGGGTACGGGTTCGGTGAGCTTGGGGATGGAAGTTAAAGATGTAAAAGCCAGCGGCTTGGATAGGTGGGGGTTGGAGCGGAGGTCGATCATCCAAGTTAAGCCGCGGATAGTTCGGTGCACGTCCAACATTTGCAACCTTTACCGAGCAGTGAAGCTGATGCACACAGGGCAGGGGAGGCGCATCCAGGGGACCTTCCCAAGCACAGCGCGGGGCGCTTCCACCAGAGGCCCCGCCCACTGCCTCAACGGCAGGCCCCGCCCCCGCCATGACGTCATACCGGAGAGGTGACGTAGGTCACGCACCCCCGCCTCCCCCAAAACAAAGCCCGTCGGACTATTACCACTGCGGCTCCTGTTCAGCGGCTCCAGAGGGGACAGACCATCGGTCTTCGGTGCGGAGGGGAAAGGCAGCGGGCGGGCGGTTAGTGCGTGCGGTGCTGCGGGACCAGACTGCATCCCCACCACCCCCCCCGGCCCCCTCGCTTGTCTCCTCCCTCCTCCTCCTCCTCCTCGTCGCCGCCGCCCGCCCTCGGGCTGGCTGCGGCGGGCGGTGACGTCAGCGAGGCGCTGAGCGCGGTGGGGCAGGCGGTGTGCGCAGGCGTGCTGCTGACGGTGGCGGTGTACCTGTTGCGCGCGCTGTGTGACAGAATGGCCTGGAAGTCGGGAGGCTCGAGCCAGGCGGAGCTCGTCCACAACCTGCAGAGTGAGTGAGGTGGGGGGTGGGGTGGGGGGGTGTTGGGCGGCCCCCGGGCCCCCGGGCCCCGGGCCCGGAGCGGAGCAGCGGCCGAGGCCGGGGGCAGAAAACAGGACGACCGGGGGCCAGGCGGGGAGGGGAGAGTGACGAGTCCCGCCCGCTCTCACTTGAGAATATGAGAGAGAGATGGAGGAGAGCGGCACCGCCCCCCCCGTCACCCCCACCCCGAGCTCCCAATAACCGTCTTTAACCCTCTGACCGCCATTACTCTCCCCCCCCCCGCCCCCGCTACAGCAGGCGGCTTCCCGGTCACTCTCGGTGCCGAGAGGGAGGGAGACGGAGACGGAGGGAGGGGGGCGAGTTGTCGCGGTTTCTCTGGATGCCGCAGTGTGGAGGCAGAGCGGGCGGGCCCGCCCGGCGCTGAGACCGCCCGCCCGCACCGAGTGGGTGCGGCCCGGGGCTGTGGGTCTCACTGAATGCGGCGACGAGCTGTCCCGGTGCCCCCCACAACCCCCCCCCCCCCCCACACGGGCTGCTGTGCACTGGATGCCGGTGGGTGGGTGACTGACTGACTGACATTTGATGGTTCTCCGGCCACATACTGAAGGTTTTGGGTCACAAAAGTTCAAGCCCCCCCACACACACCGGGGGACGCGGCGGCTCTGCTCGGCTTTGACGGTTTACATTCGGTCATTTGTAAACCTAATGAGTTGAATAAACGGTGCGGTTTAGGCGTACGTACCGTCTTTCAGGTCGGGAGAGCGTCTCAACCACAACGGCAACGAATTTACGTTTGTATCGCGCCTTTCACGCACCGAGCTGGCGGTTGGGATCTGGCGGGTAAGGGGTAGGCGAGGGACCGAAGACGCGGTCGAAGAGCAGAGTGTTGAAGGAGGCAAATGGAGGGGGCGAAGCGGAGGGGACCGTGGGATGGAGTTCCCGAGGGTGGGCAGCGAGGCAGGTGCCACAGCTGCCAATCCTGGGGCGGGCGAGCTGGGGGACGTAAAGCAGGCCGGAGCCCGCTGAGCGGAGGGAGCGGACAGGTTGGTAGGCGGCAAGGAGCTCTATACAACCGGTGGAGGGAAAACACGATGAACAGCATGGTCAGAAAGGTAATAGGTGAGCTTTGAAAGGAAGGGGAAGCTCACCTGAGAGCATTGGTGACTGGCTCCCCAACAGGGCTTGAGATTGTCGGGTAAAATGGGCGACCCAGTTTGGGGGTGGGGGCAAAAAGCACAGAGCATCCGCATGTTTAGTAATAATAATAATCCTTACATTTGATATAGCGCTTTTCACGTCGGGAGGACGTCCCAAAGCGCTTCACAGAACACACTGTAAAGTGAATTGACTGTATATTTGTGGGCGAACGCGGCAGCCAATTGCGCACAGCAATGTCCCACAAACAGTTGTGGATTCAAAATGACCAATTTATTATTGTTTTTGGTTTTGGAGGGATTATTATTAGGCTCTGTGTGGAGTAAGGAAACTTGCCCAAGGTTTCGCCCTGCCTAATTGAACTTGGAAATTCTGAACTGAGCTGTGCGGGTTGGTAAACATCAGGAACCATTCACAGGGGCATTGGGAAATTTCTGTATTTCCCATATACCCAGTTTGCCTCTGGGACTCTGGGTTGGAGCTGCTGGAGCAGAATAGCTTAAAGCTTGCGCACAAAGCAATTTCGTAAATAAGGGTGGATAGTCCAGGAAATTTAAAATGTAAATTGCAATACTGTTGCATTTTGTAAGCAAGACCTGCTTAATAGGTTGAATTCATTCTTGTAAATTGTTTTATTGATTATAAGTGCTGTATGTATTGCAGTGCATCACTGAGGGTGGAAGGAGAAAATCACCTGTCAAGAAGTGGTGTACATGCCAAGCCTGGGTTTAAAGGTCATTGGATTGTAGGAGGAGGGATCAGTTGGGGGAGGTGAGAACTTCACTGTTTTGAGATGCGCAGTAAAATGTCTCAAATTATTTTCAAGGAATGTCTGTGGGAGCCCTTGTGGGGTTGGGAATCAGGGAGAATGTTGCCATTCGTGGTCATGACAAATCTGAAGATATTGATGTAGATCTTGAAAATGAATTGGATGATAGGAAATCTATGTTAGATCATGTCAGATGCAGAGTTCTGGATGATCTGGAGTTTGTGGAAGGTGGGGCTGAAGAGGCTGGAGAGATGGATGTTAGAAGTCAAGTTTGAAGGTGACAAAGGGTTGGTGAGGGTTTTGGTCCCACTGGGAATGACTGACAGAGGTGGACGCTGCTACAGAAATGCAGGAAAGAAGATTTCATCAGGATCATTTGAAAGGCTTCAAGGAGAGATGAGGATTGAACAAAATGACAATTGTATAGCCTTAGTGAATAACTGAGGAAGTAGGTGCCTGAGGGTGTTTGCTGTTGGGAGTCAGTCGGTATAGTTTTTGTTTTGTTGGAGAGTTGAGGCTTATGGCTGACAGGCAGGCAGACAGTCTGTCAAAATAGCCGCGTTCCTGGAATCGAGAGTGGAGACAGAATGGTAGTTTTATGTTTTTCACACATGTGGAAGTGGACACCACACCTATAGCTGATGGTCACCAAGTGGGAGCATAGAGATGAAGAAACTGAATGACCCAAAGATAGAGCAATGAAGAACAATGCAAGTTTTGCTGTGGGACAGGAAGAAAAACTCTTGGAGGGTCACGCAGTGAAGGCACGAAGACTGAAATGAGACAGTGGAGAAAGATTGTGGAATCCACATAGTGTCAAAAGCAGCAAAGAGGTTTCAGAGGGTAAAAAGACACAGGGAGATGGACAGAAAATATGTCAAAGGAGGTATGACTGTCTCAGTCCTGCAAAAATATAGATCGGGGGAAATAACTATATCTTAGAAGAATGATATCAAATGTCTGAACTTCTCAAAGTTGAAAAAGGTTTGACTAAAAACAGAAGTGAAGGAAATGTTTTTCAGACGGTATTGTTTTGTGTATTCGGTTCGTAAATGACAGTGAAGTGTTTAACTCTTAATATGTGAGCGCAGCATTCAATTCTTGAACAAATATAGCTTTAAAGAGTTGTTATGGAGTCAAGAACTATTTAATGGGAAACTGAGTTTTGGTAGCAGATGCAACAATAGAGATTTATGAGAATTTCAGCTGAGATCAGATGAGAGGTTAATGCCTAGATTGTAGAGGGGTTAGGATTGGAGTTCTTGGTGGAGATGGTTATTGTTGCTTGATTTGTGAGTTACAGTTTGATGAAATGAGGAGTACAATGGAGCCAGATTATTGAGGGGTATAGATTATAAACTATTAATTCAATGTTCAGGAAATCCTTTTCACCAATGTAAAGTGAAGCTGTAGTAATTTCTTGTTTAAAGGAGCCTTCTACCCATTCCTATGTGCATTAATATTTTAATTACTTTAAATCACTGGAGTGTACTTTTTAAACCTGGTCAGCTGGCAAACTGACTGTTCAAATGCATCATATCTCACTGAAGCAAACTTTTCAGTGTTTACAAAGTCTGATTGTTTGGGGTAAATATCTTCCTCATCGTTCAGATCAGGTTGTTCATACTTGGACCTTATTAAACAACTTCTTGTATAGCTTGCTCAGAATTGCATATATATTGTGTATTGCAATTAGTTCTTTAATCAAACAGATACTACAACAACTTGCATTTATATAGCGTCCTCCAGTTAGCGTCCTACAGAGTGCTTAGTATTATCAGTAGGGATTTCATTCTCCGAATGAAGATAGTTCCTGCTAATTGGCTTTGACTGATATTTTGTTCCAGAGTATGTCTGAAGATGTGTAACCATATTAACCTCAAACGTGCACAGAAAAATAATTGATTCTGACAGAATTGAAGAATCTGCCTGAGGACAATATGGAGGTGGACATAATGGCATCTTCAACCTGTCTACCAGATTAACAGCACTATGATACTATTTGAAAGCAGTTCAGATTTTGAGACCATAATGATAATCTCTCATTGGAGTGAGAGATTGCAGAACGTTTGGTTATAAATGCTTAGATCCGAACCTCCTCTAGCTCAACAAGAGTTCATCTCTGCATTTTAATCTACTCTGGGCATCAATATTCTTGGAGGAATACTCTGGTGCCCAGAGTACAAAGGAGTGCTGGGACGTTGATCTGTTTATTTGACTGATAGCTTGTTTGGGATTTGAGTCTTGAATACGAGCAAAAGCCAGAACTGTTTGTGCTTATGTGTTTGTGTGATCGTATGATTTATACTTTTTGTCCTTTGGATTTTGTGCATCAAAACCCTTTGCCATGTTTGATGGTCTCCAATTCCAGCTACTGAGAAATCACAGAAACAGTTTCTATTTGCCAGCTCTGGAGTGCATGACCTCTCCTGTGGGAAGGAGAGAGCCATCCCCATTTGTCTAAGGTGGAGAACGCAGATGCAGCTTGGCAGAAGATGAGACATTAGGGAATCCAAAGTGTACATTTGAGCACTTCTGGAAGATAACCAGCTAAAATGCACTGGTAAGAATTCTACTGCTTTTTCAGCATTGTATATGCTTGCTGTACTATACAATATAATATTGATCGTTGCTCCTTCCAAATTGTCTCTAATGTTCCTCTCGAGCTAATTGTATACATAATCTTCCTCCTCTCCCCCCCGCCCCGCATACTGAGTTTAAAAAGAAACTTGTGTGCAATCTGCTCTAATTCATACTTCAAGACTGTAAAAGGGACTGCAGAGGTAAGGATTATACAATCAGAAGGCTTTTAATGCCCAAACTTGGTCACATCAAACCACTTTCTCTGCAACTGTTTTCCACTTTGACATTGTGGTGCATGTTTCATGTAGATTCTCAAGAGACTGTGAAACTATGCTCCTATGCGTTTTGCCTGAAAGGTTGGTAGACAGGAAACCTTGGTGGTGGACACTTAACTTATTTGCCACATGGATATGCTGTATTCTTGGACCCTTCCATGATTTGTTTAAAGAGAACACGACACCTTCTCAGGAATGGACAATAACTGCTGTCCCTGCCAGTGTGATCCATGTACTGAGATGAATAAATAACATAAGAAAAACATTTAGAGTAACTCCCATAAAGGTTCCAAACACACAGTGGTTTACTAGTTTGTTTCTTACCACCACATTTCTTTCTTTCAAAGACTGCATAATAAGATTTCTCATGGCCAAGTGCTACAGTTTGCTGAAGATCTTAGTTTGTCTGCAATGTAGGAGAACTGAAAGTGGTTCCAGGGTGACTATAAGATGAAGTTTCTTTGATTCAAGGTGTTTGCTGAAAATGAATAAACAATAATAATCATTCTTTCATATCAGTGCCTATAATGCCAAAACATCTTAAGTGCTTTAAAGGAAATTGACAAGTGCAGTGACTCCTTGAAGGCAAGTGTGACATCTATTGTATGTTTGCAAAATCCTACAAATAAGACCAAACACTAGCTTAAACTCCTCTTTTTGAATAGTGTCAAGAGATCTTCAATCTGCCAAGATCTTGGTTTGTTACAATACAACATTACATTTGTATAGAGTCTATCTCATCAGGAGGTCGTCGGGAGGCTGGACAGTCAGGGATTTGGACCTGAGATGGGGGTTGGGATCAGTGGAGGGTAGGAGGGTGGCCGAAGGCTCGGTCGAAGAGGAGGGTTTTGAGACATGCCTTCAAAGAGGCAAGGGAAGGAGCGAGGCGAAGGGAATGGGGGATGGAGTTCCTAAGCGTGGGGGCAGAAAGACTGAAGGCCTGACCGCCAATGGTGGGGGCTGGCCAGCCGGGGACGTGCAGCAGGCCACAGCCTGCTGAACAGATAGGTTGATATGGGGTCATCAAGTCACAGAGGTAGGAAGGAGCAAGGCCATTGAGGGCCTTGAAAGGGAGGACGAGGATTTTGAACTCTATCCCCTGGGGGATGGGGAGCCAGTGGAGCCGGGTGGGGGTGATGGGATCACGGAGCCTGGTGCGGCAGAGGACATGAGCTGCAGAGTTCTGGATGTTCTGCAGCTTGTGGAGGGAAGAGATGTTGCATCAAAAGGATGGCATGTCCAACAATAAAAGTGCTTTACCAGTTTTGCAATGAATTGTTAGCCAGCCCTAGACTGCGTGAGTCAGTAGATGGTACAGTGCGATCGTACTCTGCACCTTATATAAACGTTTAGTCTCTCAATCCATGATGTAATAAAGCAGCATGTTAAGCATTGCTGATTAAATCACACAGTAATGCTGACTTTCATCTGCACAGAAGTAAAAAAAAAAGTTTTTCTTGAGTGTGTACAAAGTAATTAGAAAATGTGATTGGTGGAACCAAACATTTGCAATGTCGCAATATTCTATCCTAATCAAACCTTCCTTTGCTACCTGTTAGAACAAGAACTCATTGTGAAAACATGGAGCTCACTAACGTGGTGTGTTTGCAAAGCTGTAATAAGAACTATATAACATAATGGTACTATACTGTGCCTATTTCATCTAGTACTGTATTTTTTCCTGCCAAGTAACTCACCATCTTACTTGGCGTTATTGCCAAGTAACTGTAATTAGTTGGGAATATTGTGTTGCCTCTCGCCTCCATTAATTTTTTGATTTAGCAAATTAGTGCATGAGAATTGCAGTGCTCCAGGATGGCCTGAAGATCTAAATGAAAAGTAGGACTGTTCTGTGTTGCTTTAATAAATTTGGATGTTGAATGAAGAATATTAATTATTAAAACTATAAATCTTTCTCATTTATGAAATAACTACATCTCTAATGTGAAAAGTTCTTCCTAGCTTACCCATTTGATTTTCTTTCTGGCTTGAAGCTATTTTTGTATTTGACTAGTGTTGGTTACAAAATTTGTTTACGAGCAAAGCTTTAAACATGACTGAGAGCCAATGACATTGACTAATTATTATAATCTAGGATCTTTGTAACAAGTGTTTAATTATTGACACAATGAATGCATTGGCACTTTGTGATCCTGGAGTGTATTTTTCAATACTGTATAAGGCAGACTGAGCTCCTTCATTTTGTTTTGAAATCATATTTGTTTGTGAAATGGATTTCCTCAGCTGTGAATGGCCTTGTGTGATATTGGTACTAAAATTAATTGTATTAACATTTCAAAATAATTTATCATTAGTGCTTTCTTGAAACATTCTCATTACTACCTAAAGTGCTTTATGATAAATTTCTGTTCAGTGTATGTGAACACGTTCAAATACTTCCCAAACAAAACAAAAATTGTGTAAAACACACTTAATTAGTGTATTGCAGCTAAATGAAATGAGTCATTTGGTCAAGGTGTGCTTCTGTTTCTTCAGATAATCCTCATTCAGCTGTGAAACTCAACATCTCAAAGGAACATTGTTACTTCTGTTTAATATAAATTCTGTGCCCTTTTTGTGAATTTGACACTTAATGACAAATTGTAGCTGCTTAGTACTGTAGATTTGGGTCTTCTGACAGTCTGAATTGACGCAACCTGAACTCTGTATAGAAATGTTAAAGCTAATAAATCAAATGAGACAAATGTACTGAATTTAAAACCTGGAGTTTTGCGGACAGGTCTGTAACTCGTGCCACCTCATCTCTCAAATGGCTAACAAGTTGTCATAGACAACTGTTTTATCTTCGAGTGAAATCTTGACATACTGTAGGGCACTGGGATCACGAGAATCCATTGAGTTTTTTTTGCTGAGTCTCTGTCATTTGAGTTGGACAAAATGTTCTTGAAATTATCTCCTGCTGTGAAATAAGCTCCATCAGAGTTCTAAGTAAGTTCTAAGTAAGGATTATTACGTGGAAACAGCCTATTAATGAATTTTTATTGATTCCTGTCATAATTTTAAATTCTTCTCCAGACATTTGCAACCAAATTTGAAATCGCCTCCCAAATAATGATGGGACATTTAAACCAAAAATTGGACAAGCGTATAGATGCCATCATGGCTTCTTGCAAGGACAAATACTGACAAAATAATTTTCTGTAGGCTGGCTTGTTAAGTTTTTTTTAAAACAATGTGGCTCAGTAGCAAATGCTAACGTTTCAGCAATAAACTTTATCAAGTACTGTTTCCAGAATGCTTATTTGTATACTAATCATATACAACTAAACCACTAGGATATTTGAAATAAACTTAGAACTTTACTCTTTTCCTAATTTTAGAGTTTAATTTTGCTTTTTTTTCCAACCTGATCATCTTTATGCCTTTCCTCACTTACTTTTTCCTTTGGCTTCTACTGTCTCCTTTTGGAGTGGGTGCAATTACCAAATGTTTTGAGACTCATTCGAGCCAGGTTTAAGCCAAGGTTGCTTTTTTCAGTCAATCAAAAGTATGAACACAAAGCATCTTATGTGTAAAAGTGTATAAACAGGAAGATCTGCTCTGGAGGGGTTCTTGTGCTAGGTTTCACCTTGGAGACAGGTCTGAATGTGCTGAAGTTTGTAAATGATCAAAAAAAAATGGCAAGTTGCAAAATATTTATCAAAACAGACACCATGGTCTTAACAACAAATTACATTTATGTAACGCCTCACGTTGGGAGGACGTGCCAAAGCACTGGACAGTCAAGATTTGCCCCCGCGCTGTGGGCTGGAATCATGAAGGGTGGAGGGCAAGGGGAGTGTTGGTGGGAAAATGACCGAAGGCACAGTCGAAGAGGAAGGTCAGTTTTTGTAAGTTGACTTTTACGAATGCTTCCTAAGCGTGGATATTTATACTAAACTCTGGATCTGGGTGATGGTAAAATGAACCAGCATTAACTGCCTATCCCTGGTTCACCACTGGTGGCAGTGGTCCTTTTTAAACAGGTAATATTTTGTAGCGGTTTTCTTGCATCTGAGTGGTTTGCTATGCCATTTCAGAATGCATTAAGTGACACCCATGCAGTAGGAGAATTGAGTCACATGTAAGCTAGACCAGATATTGATGTCAGATTTTCTTCCCTAAAGGACACAAGTGGACCAGTTAGATCTTTACAACAATTTGGCAGCAGTGTGGCCATTTTTCTGGTCCTACCTCAAATTATTTATTAAATTCAAAGATTGCAAATGACATAGCATTTAGAATTTCGATCTATGACCTTTGCTTACTATCATTTCTCTAGTTCCATTATGCTTTGAATAATAATTCATGCAGTCCTTATTCATAGAATTATACAGTGCAGAAGGAGGTCATTCGGCTCATCTTATCTGTGGCAGCTTTTTAAAGAGCTATCCAAATCAATCCCACTCGCTCGCTTTCTAGCCCTGCAAACCTGTCCTCCCAAAATAAATAGAATATTGTTTCAGATTTTTCTGTAAAGTCTATGTGTGGGCGAACACAGCGGCCAATTTGCGCACAACAATATCCCACAAATGGCCAAGAATTAAACCATTTTTCGATTGGGAATTGTAGATCAGAACACTGGGAGAAACTCCCTTTTCTGTTTGATTGGAGCCATGAGATCTTCAAAGTCCACCTGAACAGGGAGAGGGGAATTCAGTTTAACATCTGAAGGATGACGACTACAACAATGCAGTGCTTCTTCGGGTTTCATTGGATCATGAGTCTAGATTAAGAACTCCTGATGGGGAGTTGATAGAAGGATTTGTTTTGAAAGCTGACGTAGTCTCTCAATGCTCAAAATTTTATATAGTAATAGAACATGAGCAGCATCTTAGGTCAAGGGTTGTTATAACCAGATTTGCTCTGATGACCAATTTCTCTATTTTAAATTTATGACTAATGAATGATAGAGACGTAAGAACTTGCTAGGCGAAAAAAGACCAAGGTCCATCGAGTTTGCCTTCCACCATCCTGACAGTCGCTTGACATGGTGTCCCAAACTATATGCTGTATCCCGAGATATTATTTTCTAGCAGAAAACCTATTTAAATTGTTCTTGAAACAAATGACGTTTTCTGCAATATAGGTCTTGTTTTATGATAGGTCTTATGTTTTCTGTGCTTTTTAATGAAGAACCTTAATTTGCATTTTATACTGTGCCCTTCAAACAGGATGGCGCCTTCAAGCGTTTTCACGAATTAGTTGGCATAAATGTGGTATTGCCTTCTAAAATATGGTTGGATATTAGCACTGCCCTGATATAGATACCAAAGTTTATTTAGCAAGTTTATTCTTGGCCACACTGCGGAATCTGTCCTTGACTGAACCCTCTGTGTTGCTGTATTTTTGCTATGTATGTTGAACCTCTGTGGTTGGACACTGTATACCTTGCCAGTTTGGGGGGGGGGGGCAAGCGCTTGAGGTTAGTAACATACCCGAACAGCAAGGATTTTGATACAGATTTTTCCCTATTGATTTCTATGGAAGTATATGTTTCCTCAACAACTTGCATTTATATAGCGCCATTCACGCAGGGAAGCATCTCGGAGCGATTAGCTCAACATCTGTCTTATAACTTAACTGTCTTGTGCTCCAGGTTTAAGTAATCTTGTATCACACCAGCTTCTGTTAAATCCAGCAATCAGCTGTCAAGTGGTTTTTTTAAAAAAAAGTGTGTTGAGTTTAATTCAGTTAATTTAATTCCCTGCCCCCTTTTTATTTGCCACCTTTTCTGTGTCCTGCGCTGTTTTGTTACATGGCTTACCCTATCCAGGGTAACCCCCCACCCCCCCCCCCACCCAAACATGCTGTAATGGGATTACTGTGAAGAACACCATCCCACACTTTATCCTTTTTACGTATGTTGAAATAAAACGTCAAAATGTACAATAGCTATATTTTCAAGGATCTCTAAGACTGGCACTCCTTACCTTCCTCAGTTTTATCTTCTTCCTACAATGTACTATATTTTAAAACCCAAGCTGGATGTCACCAGCTACTTGTGCTTATCTGATTTCTCTGCTATGGTTTTCAACTTTAACTACACATATGAGCCTTGGCCTTTCAGCTATGTTCTGTTATGTTTTGAAGAAAAGAGCAAAAGGTCCATTTTATTATGTGAAAATAGAAGTTTATATGCTTTCGATGCTATGGTTTGAGCTGCGGGTGACAAATTATAATTTTAAAGGGGTGAATAAATTCTACAGAGAGTACTGAGGCTTGAAATTCCACCAAAGCTTAGCCTGTAAGACTTGTCTTAAAATTTAAGATGGTTCTAGTACAAAACGCTTCACTTCAGTCCTTATTTGGAAACAGGTTCTTAAAAATAACTGGACAAAGTACTCTTATAGAATAGTCATGGAATTTCAGGTCTCTTGTGAATACTTCTAGAAAAAGAAGAATAAAAAACCTTTATTAAATGATAACCTGAAGCAAGGAAAGTGTTACAATGGTAAAATAAGCTTTGGGTGGATGAGAAATTAAAAATTCTGAATGTTGCTATTTGTTTTCTTCAGAAAATGGGATTATCAAGAAAGAAAAGGTTTTTCAAGTAATGATGGCCACAGATCGTGGTCACTATGCTAAATCTAACCCCTACATGGATTCCCCCCAGTCAATAGGTAAGTGTTTTTAAAGTGCTTGCTCTTCTCAAACAGCATTCTTGTCTTGTGCTTTATCTTCTGTGTAATTTTTTACAATGTGTGTTGGTGGTGGGCGGAGAGCTAACATAATTTAAGAAAACATTACAATTGAGTAATATGAATTAATATTGTGGAACTTCTCTCACAAATACCAGAACCTGCTTGGCCAGGGACTTTGTTCAACTAGAATTGAATTGTGCAGTTCGTAGTTGGTGAAATTGGTGAAATCGTCAGAGGAGGAGAAAAAAAAATGCAATCCATGCTGTGGTATATGTCACGGGTGTTTTCAAAATACAGTCACTACACTCTACATTGAATCTTGTGACACACTTTGATATATCCTCCTGACACGAAATGCGCTATTTCAAATGTCAGGCTATATTGTAAAAAAAATCAATATTTTGTATACTTTACCCTCTGGATCAATAAAAACTAACAAGTATCTGTCCTGAAATTGTCCTTTGTAACTCTAAATGTATGTCCTCGTGGTGCATCCGAAAGTATACTTTTCAATCCCATTTAAAATTTTAAATGCTACTATTATGTCTCTTGAGTCATGCATGTAGACTGAAAAAGTGACTTAAATATTTACATACAGAGTCAACTGCAATACAATTAAACCTACTGTTGTGTTTTCTTATACACAGGCTTTCAAGCAACAATCAGTGCCCCACACATGGTGAGTGAAGCAGGTTTGCGGTACAGTGCTGGTTGTACCTTTGTCTTTGAGAATTGTATAGATACAGTAAGCTCCTGATAACTCAACCGTTGCTCAGCTTGTCACTACCACTTTTCATCATGCTGTCAATACGTATAAATTTATGTATTTATATGTATGCCTAACTCACCAGTCCAGATAACTCGTCACTGAGCCCTTTTCCCTTGGAGTGCCAAGTTATCAGGAGTTTACTGTAATAGTAAGATTTGTGATGGTTTTGTTTCAGTTAAATGTCAAATTGATTGTTGGCGACTAGAATTGATTGTTTCTAGTTTAATGTCATATCATTGTCAGTCTGTGACAATTGAGCTTTGGGTTGTTGTATTTAATTTCATAATTCAATATATGCTTATTAAAACTTTTAAATTGAAACTTGGTTTTGTTTGGGTGCTGGTCAATGACTCCCCAAAGAATTTGGGAAGTGTATAAAGACTCGATCTATGATCGGTGCTTGCCTTTGAAAGAAAAGTATTATTTTGCCATAATAATAATTCTTGCATTTGATATAATAATAATTCTTGCATTTGATATAGCGCTTTTCATGTCTTCTCGACATCTCAAAGCGCTTCACAGAATAGACTGAAGTGAATTGGCCGTGTATTTGTGGGCAAAACGCGGCAGCAAATTGCACACAGCAGTGTCCCACAAACAGTCGTGGATTGAAAATGACAAATTTATTATTATTTTTTGTTTTGGAGTGATTATTAGGATATACTGTACAGTGAATTCACTGTATATTTTGTGGACAACAATAAGTAGAGCAGGTATCCTCATAACCCACTCATTGTCAATGATTCAAGTGGTTACAGTAAATTGAAGTGAAAATGTCTGAGTACATAAAGGATTCTTTGTTTTGCTCAAAAAGGTTATGAAGCCGCCCATTGTTCAATACTGCTTTGGTCAGCCGGGTGTTCGACGCATGAGGAACTCATCACCAAGTTTAAGAGCATCCAAACCAGAAAATGTTCCACATATGCATGTCACCTTTGCATAGAAATTTCTCGTATCTGGAATGGAATGCGCGCTCTCTCCTTGGAGGGATATACCAGCTTATCTTCTGCCAAAAGGCTTAGACGTAGGTTGGTGAGAGCCAAGTCTTAGAGATCCCAGAGTTTGCCTTCAGGTACTGCTGGGGTTTCACCAGATATCATTGTGAACGCTGTCTGACAAACTTTCCACTGCTTGTCTAGGTAGGACCATCCTACAAGTTAGGGCTTTCGCTTGCAAGGTTAATTGGAGCCTATTGTGATGAATCTCTGCCCCCAGTCTGCCTTGTCAAATCCTGCCGATTAGCTAGCTGGGCAGTTGATCTGCAAACGATAGTCCCTTGGAGTACTGTGTACCCGCCTGGCTCCGGAATTGGACTAATGCAAGTCAATTTGATTATGGCATTCTGTTAACCAAACACATCCCTTTGGAGCCAGATCAGCCGCAGAAAGATCCCAAGCACCTCTTTCATATTATTTTATACCATGTTCTAGAAACAGATCCCCTGGACCTGATGGTCTGCATCCTAGGGTTTTAAAAAAGGTGGTTGCTGAGATAGTGGATGCCTTGTTTTTGATCTTCCAAAATTCTCTGGATTCTGGAACAGTTCCCATTGATTGGAAGATGGCAAACGTAACACCACTATTTAAGAAGGGTGCGAAAGAGAAGATGTGGAACTATAGACCAGTCAGTCTTGACATTGGTGGTAGGGAAAATTCTAGAATCCTTAATTAGGGACATCGTAGCGGGATACTTAGAGGACCATAATTTGATTAGGCAGAGTCAACATGGCTTTACAAAAGGGAAGTCATGCTTAACAAATCTTATCGAGTTTTTTGAGGATGTAACTAGCAGGTTAAATAAGGGGGAACCAGTAGATGTAGTATATTTAGATTTTCAGAAGGCATTCGACGAGGTGCCGCGTAAAAGGCTGCTACGCAAGATTAGGGCACGTGGAATTTAAAGGCAATATATTAGCATGGATCGAAGAGTGGCTAACGGGAAAAAAACAGAGTAGGGATAAATGGGACCTTCTCAAATTGGCAAGATGTGACTAGTGAAGTGCCACAAGAATCAGTGCTTGGGCCTCAATTATTTACAATCTATATTAATGATCTAGACGAGGACATAGAATTTAAATATCTAAATTCGCAGATGATACTAAGCTACAACAACAACTTGGATTTATATAGCGCCCTCCACGCCACAGATCCCGGGACCGATGTTAGAAAATAAAATCAGCCATCATCCGTTTGCAACCGGACATTAGACCTTTCCTTTATTATTCTTTATTCCCCAGTTTCCCAATGAGTCAGACCAAAGGCCAGAACAATCAACAGATCTTATAACAGAATAATACCACCATAGATATCTCGAGTTCAACACTGTGTCTTTATAGCACACCAGCTTGATTCTTCATGCTTTCAGTTTTCTTGCTTACAGCTTTCAATCTTCCATCTGATATCCTCAGTCTTAGTGTTTCTAGCTCTCATTCTTCCATCTCCCGAACCCTTGTCTCTGCAGCCCGGGATGGCCCAATCTCCCGTACCCTTGTCTCCACAGCCCGGGATGGCCCCATCTCCTGTACCCTTGTCTCCACAGCCCGGGATGGCCCCATCTCCTGTACCCTTGTCTCCGCAGCCCGGGATGGCACCATCTCCTGTACCCTTGTCTCCGCAGCCCGGGATGGCACCATCTCCTGTACCCTTGTCTCCTCAGCCCGGGATGGCACCATCTCCTGTACCCTTGTCTCCGCGACTCGGGACGGCCCTGTTCACAAAGTTAACGGAACTCTTATACCAATGTTCGTCCAATCATGGTGTGGACATTAGATCACCTGCCGAAATCATGCTGGGTTCACATGAACACCTCATGGGGTGTTTGTGCCTCACACACACAAACACACTGTCCTTGAGACAGTCCGTTATCTTGTGTACGTGCAGGGCAGTAGTACACATCTTGTCCTTGAGACACTCACGTGTAAACTCATGAGTTTCAGTCCAGTTGCCCCCCCCCACACTTAACTTAAAAGTTAACCCGTTTGCAACATCTATTGATTCTAACATTATACAAAAAGTGTAAATTCTAACACCGAGCCAGGGGGAGGAAGGTGACCAAAGGTGCGGTCGAAGAGAAAGGTCTTCAGCAGAGACCTGAAAATGGGAAGACAGGTGTTAAGTTATTCACCTAGGAGGTAAAAACAGAAAAGCAGATTATTTTCTAGAAGGGGAGAGACTAGATGGTGTTAGTGTTCAGAGGGATTTGGGTGTCCTTGTACACCAGTCACAAAAAGTTATTATGCAGATACAGCACGCAACTAGGAAGGCTAATGGCATGTTGGTGTTCATTGCAAAACGGTTAGAATACAAGAGTAGGGAAGTCTTGCTGCAACTATATAGGGCCCTGGTGAGACCGCACCTAGAATATTGTGTGCAGTTTTGGTCTCCTTATTTAAGAAATAACATACTGGCCTTAGAGGGAGTGCAGTGTAGATTCACTAGATTGGTTCCTGGAATAAGGGGGTTGACCTACGAGGATAGGTTGAGTAAACAAGGCCTATATTCTCTAGAATACAGAAGAATTAGGGGTGATCTCAGAGGGTAGTGAATTTATGGAATTCTCTACCCCAGAAGGCTGTAGATGCACAGTCCTTGAACATATTCAAGACTGAGATTGATAGGTTTCTAAAGGATCGAGGGATTAAAGGATATGGGGATAAGGTGACAGATGGAGTTAGGTTAGAAGATCAGCCACAATCTTATTGAATGGCGGGGCAGACTCGAGGGGCCAAATGGCCTTCTCCTGCTCCAAGTTCCTATGTTCTGGTCCAATTAGCCAGCACCCCCACATAAAGAATAACTTCAGGGTTGCCAGGTTGCCTACTGAATTCATCTTGTGAAGGAAGTGATTTCAGATGCATTTCTTGCATGGGCAGCACACAGAAAGTGACATCAGCAGTGCTTACTGTGCATAATGCGCAACATGCAAGAACGAAGTCATAGAGATGCTAGGACCCTGGAAGTTGACCATTTCTCATGCTTTGCTTATCATTGACATTGTACCCAGCCAATCACATTAAAACTGAGTATTTCAGTATGTACTTGTCCTCAATAGTCCATCCAATTTTTTGGAAGACAACAACTTATCTCAACAGAAATATTCTTAAATTATGGCCTGCTCCCCACCTCGTCTCTTGAATAAAGCTCAGCAATTCTTATTACCGATGTTTGCTCGTCTTGAGTTATCTTTTAGGGTTTGGTTTCATATTTGTCCTATTTCCTAATTGAATGTTCCTGTCACCTAATTTTGTTTTAACTACTTATATTCCTTGAATAAGTGTTGCACACCCAATTTATTTAGTGAACCGAGCGTCTGGTCTCAGTCATGCGTGTATACATACTGAATGCCTGATTCTTCCACAATGCAAGACTGAACAATTTATAAAAATATAAGTGTTATATATATCCTAAGTTGTACATTAGTCTAAATAATGCATATTTACTTAAACATTTTAACATTTAGATGTTTTCTTGAGTTGAAATAGCAAAACATGTTTCACTATGCATTTTGGGTTACATAATAATTACAGATACATATATCATTTTTCTTTCTGGTCTGAGGCAAGATTGAAAATAGGAAGATGAATGACCAGTGAATAACAGTCTCAGGAAGATATTCAGAAGCAGGTTTGTTTCTAACTGCTGTGTGCAGTTGACTGCCGTGTTCGCCCACAAAACACAGTCACTACACTTTACAGTGTATCCTGTGAAGCACTTTGAGATGTCTCAAAGATGTGATAAGATGCTATATCAAATGCAAGGATTATTATTGTTAACTTTTAGTATGATTTTGTTCAGTTCTCAACATTTGTCTTGGGTACATTCCAGCTTTAAATTGTCCGCTTGGAGAAAATGCGGTAGGTTAAGCTACAACCAAGAAAATCATATCTTTTGATTAAGACTTGTTGCTTATACAAAAGTAATGAAAGTTATGTTCTGGTCTGTCACCCTCCCTCCCCTTCCTCAGCATGCGTACGCTCTGGAGTTGCTTCATGATCATCTGTATGATGGGGCTAAGGCACTTGATGTAGGTTCTGGTAGTGGAGTCCTCACTGCTTGCTTTGCAAGAATGGTAAGTAGTTTAGTGCACAGTTCCACAATTCTTCAAAAATCGCCAGTCTGTCATAACTGCTGCCATGGCTATAGTGCTAAAATGTATCTGTCTCTAGGATAGCATGAGACAGGGTTCCCAAGCCTGATAAATATCTATTGACCCTTGAAGTTCATACTTTAGGTTGGTTTATCCCACTCTATATTCAACAGGGACATAAATTTAAAGTTGCCTTAAATATTAATATTTCACGCGCAGAATGTGGTATAAATTATGTGTCTGGAACTGGCACCCAGTGGCTTTACATTGAGCAAAGGCAAGCCACCATATCGTATTTATAAATTATGCACAGCAGTAATTAGGAGAGAGTGTGAACCTGCTTCTGCTGACAGTGAAAGGAATGTCTGATCCAGATATCTCACGTTAATAATGGGCTTTAGATTGAGTTAGGCAGCAAAATGAAATTAAGAAAGCAAAATTGTAAGGACAAATTTAAACTATTTACCATGTTTCATGACTTGTGGGATTAACTAATGTTTGGACTTAACTTTAATCTTGAAATAAAATCCTAATACTTCAATTTGTACGAGTCACACTTCATTGTTTACACTTTACACTGTGTTTATTGTTTAATATGAAACAAAAGTGCAATTTAATAATCTTATGTTTATGGATCATGAAAGGGGTGTATAAACATTTACAATTGGATATTTTAATTTATAAGCAACTTGGAAGCAAGTAAGTGTTTATGATGTGTTAGCTCAATAACATCCTCGTTTACCCTCCAATTTATCAACTCTCTTGCAAAAATAATAAAAAGGAGGATGTATGCGGTGGGGAAGAGAATACAAAATATGCTATAGATTTACAATGAATTGTTGTGCTGTACAGGTTGGTCCAAATGGGAAAGTCATAGGAATCGATCATATTAAGGAACTCGTAGATGACTCTTTGAAGAATGTTAAGAAAGATGATCCTACTTTGCTTACCTCATCAAGAATAACACTTTTAGGTGAGTGGGCTTCATGTCAATGAGCATTATTGTGTATAGAAGTCTCTGAACTGGGTTCTTGAATGAAATCTTGATGAGATGTGTATATTTTCTTCAGCACTTCGTGTAATTTCTTCCCCAAAGTATTGTTACACTATTGGAAATCTATGTTTCTTCACAGTGGGTGATGGAAGACGGGGATATCCAGAAGACGCTCCTTATGATGCTATCCATGTTGGTGCTGCAGCAAGTGTAGTACCACAAGCAGTAAGTAATTTGATACCCATTCAATATTAATGCAAATGTCATATTATAGTGTTAGCTTCTTTTCCTAGTGTATATATCCCAGACAGCAAGTTTAAAACCATGATGATCATGAAACCCAAGATATTAGGCATGTTTTGTGATAAAACCGAACAACCTTTGTTGTTTTTTCAGTTTGGTTTTCTGCAAGTTAGCAATGACTAGGCAAAAGTGACAGCTAATTTGCCTCCCAAACAGGAAATCTAGGAATCTGCAGTCAAAAGCAGTATTGTTAAAGCTTTATTGCTATTTACTTCATCTAAAAAAGAAGAGGTGGAAAATTTGCATTTTGATAATCCTAATTTTTTCTTTTCTTTAGTTGTTAGAGCAGTTGAAACCGGGTGGGAGATTAATATTACCAGTCGGCCCCCCAGGAGGAAATCAGATGCTGGAGCAACATGACAAATTAGAGGATGGCAGCATCAAAATGAAGCCACTGATGGGAGTAATATATGTGCCTTTAACGGATGAAGGGTCTCAGTGGCCAAGGTGGAAATGATTTTCTACATAATCTTTCTTCCACTAAGATGAGGTGAAATGATGAGGGTTTGAGTTGGAGTGTTCGAGTATCTGCCTGGCTGCTTGTTTTGCGTTGCTTTGATTCTCTGTTCCATTTGTGCAAACTTTAAACATTTGGAGTTGACGGATCAATAACTTACTCATCCAGGCTCGAAAAATTGTTCCAACAATTAAGATTGCAGAATTGATCTTTCAATTGGTGTTCTATTCTAAGAACTTGACATTCAATCATAACTACTTTCTATGGTGGTTCAATTAATCAGTGTCCAATAGTTGCAGTGAATTTAAAAAGTGAAGCTATTTAAATGGCTGTTAAAGTACATTCAGATTTTGACCAATTGTATCAAGAGAACATTGGGTGCGCGGTTGATGGAATTTCTATGATCCTACCAAATTAAGGTATTTCAAATTTGTAAGATCATACCATTGCCAGTCATTTATTCCTGCTTCACATGCAACATTGGTTGCGCGGTTGATGGAATAGTCTTGTCCACGAATGAAAGAGTCACCATTTGTGTCAGTTGAAGCTTATGCCTTTCGTTTGGGTGGGGGTGGGAGATAAGAGCACCTCAAATGACACAGCAACACTTCAGCAATAATTTCCAAAAGAGTTATGGTTAATTTACTCAGCAAAGCTAGTTTTAGTATGGGTCAGTACTGGAAATGGCACTTACCTCCTTCCTCCATTGACAATTATTGCACTTTATCCAGATTGCTTGTATGGCTCTGGTATGCTCTGAATGTTGGGAGTTAATCTTTCCTCCCACGTGGCTAAACACAACCAATATTTATATGCTCAAGCATCAACTGGGATGTCTCATCACTTGCAGTAGTATAAATGACTGCCAATGGTATGATCTGACAAACTTGGAAAACCTTAATTTGGTAGGATCATCGAAATCACAGTGTAGGAGGAGGCCTTTCGGCCCATTAAGCCTGTACTAATGACAAATTCTCCTCTGGGCCTAACATCTCTTAATCTCACTCTGCTGTTTCCTTTTATATTGTCCTCTTCAAATGATTGTCCCATTCACTTTTAAATATTCTTATGGTTTCAGGCTCCTTCGCCACTTGCTGTGCCTGTTCTAAAACTTTGTGTGGAACCTTTGTGTCTAACCGCGATCTCGAAGATTTACTCTCGTTAACAGTTTTAGGAATAAGCAACACTAATTTTTCACCGTCTATCCTTTCAAAATGTTTCAAATTTAATTTGGAAGCCTTCCCTCAGATCCATTCTTAATCTTCTCAGCTCCAGTGAAAACAGCTTCACGATATAAGGAAAACTCTACTGGGCATTGACCAAATTAAATGATTTTCATTGTTGGCATTTTGCAAATAGTTGCCTTGAAATGTACAAATTAAACCTTTAGTTTTTTTTAGAAGTTCTGCTGTGACTGCTTCGAATTGCACTTGCTTCTCGCTGACATGTTTATGTTGCATGATTTCAAAACCATGGCCCACCATTGAGTATTTTTAATCTGCATGGCCAGCGGAACTGTTTGCACAAAGTCTGCTTCACATGTAACATTCTTAAAGTATAACATTCCTACAATCACATTTGTAGTTAAAATAATTAGTGAACCATCAAAATTCTAGTTGTACTTGGTAGTTTTATCTTTTCACAGATTCTATAATTTGGCTATATTCATTTTAAATACTCCATATTGGAGTTGAAATACTATGAAATGAAGCATAAAAAATGTGCCTTTTGTGACTACGATAATTATAGAGGCATGATTTGTACAACACTTACTGAAATGGAAATATAAAAATAAGAGAGCCCTGGTTGTCTTGTGAATGGCTTCTCAAAATTTTGAGCTCATCTGCTGAATTTTAAGATTTTTCTTAAAGGTTATGCCAGATTGTTGTTAAAAAGCAGGATTTTTTTTATCAGACCATGTTAAATATGTAATGCTTCTAAGCCTGATTTTAATTATTTATCTTTGTAGCAGGTAAACTGGCAACAAAGGGAGTAGTTTATGCCAATCTAAGGTAAGATTAATTTGTGTTATAATTGCTTTAATTTATTGTGACTAAACAGCAGTGAATAAGTAATCTATGGTTGAGAAGGGTGCTTTGAAAGTAATGGAAATGAAGGATAATATTTAACTCATGAAGCTGGTTGACCTCAGCTTGACTTAGTTGGTAGCACTTTTCCTTTTTAGGCTAAAACGCTGTAAGGTCGGGCCCCCAAGTCAGTACTTTGAGCATATAATCTAAAGTGACAATCTAATGTAGTGCTTGGGGAGTGCTGCATTTGTCAAAGATGTTTGTTCAAGTGCTGATCTTAAAGATCCTAGGATAACAATCCTTCATATTAATTTGTTTTTTGAATTATGTTTTTTTGTGGGACTTTGCTGATCCCCTATTTACCTGTCAAGTGTGTGTGAGACTTTTCAATGATATAAGGTGCTATATTCTTTACAACGTGATGGATTAGGTTTTGTTTTAAAATTATCTTTGTATTATAATAAGAAATTTGAGTTTCTTCATATGGAAGTTAAAAGATCGTTTAGTCATTGTAAACCTCAGGTTATGGTTGGATATTTTGAGGACTACAGTTTTCACTCAATTTAAAGACCACACCTGGTAATTACTAATTGTAGGAGAAAAACTAATTAATTAATTAATTAAAAATAAGAAAATAATCATGAGATGACACAATCCTAACCTCAAGCCAATAGGCTTTATGTATCTAGTGCATCTTATCATTGAATTATTCTGAGTAGGTTTCCTACTGGAAAGAAAATCTAGCTGGGAATTATTTTTCTGTTTAATTCATAAATGTGTGTAACAACAACAAAATTATATTTGCATAGCTCCTTTCACGATGAATATGGGCTTGAATTGCAAAGGTCAAAGCCTTAGGGGAGTTGAGCAATAAATAATCCAGTACATTTCTTTGTTTTTATCTGGTGATAATTTATAGCTTTTCAATTGTATTTATTTGGACAAGTTTGTTGGACACCATACCTATACTCATTTTAATGTTTTATTCACAGGGATGAAATGTGAAGCTTCATCTGTGTTCGGATTCTTATTTGTGGAGTGGACATCTCCAGTTCTAAACACCTTGAAACCAACAGCATTGCAGCTTGTTTTGAACTTTTTAAAAATACTTAATGCTGGTGTGTAGCAGTGCTCTTTTAGCGGCCTAACAAATTAAATCAGACTGGAGGAGTACTGCTTTAAGAGGCTTTAAAGAAAAATACTGGAAGACATCTTACATGTCTTGATTTAGCTTTTAACTGGTATAGGAATTGAAGCTAAGACTTAACAAAACAGCATGGCTGATTCATTCAGTGTATCCACCTAAGGTTTTGTTTGGATATGCAATGTTGTATTGTGTTCAAATCCTTCACTATTAACATGCAGATTTATTCTGTGCACCTTATGACACTACATGCTTATGAAATGTTCAGCATACAGATCACAAAATGCCTCTTAAGACAATTTTAGTGAGCTTCCCACCAAGTGTTGAGTTGCATTAATATCATCTCACCGATTCTCCTTTTTCCCTGTAACTCTTACATCATAATTGTATTATAGGCAGCAACAACAATTCATGTACAGATTTGAACATATTGATGCTTTTCAAAAAATCTGATGTTCTGTGCTGCTGTTCTGTAATTTGTGTTGGTTCATAACTGAACTTGGTGGCTACAATGTAACATGCTGTATAAGCTTAAGCAATGCTGTATGGATATTAGGAAGATACCTGGACAATGTATGCATTATTGCTTTGCCAAATAAATTTGAAATGCACATAAAATGATTGTTCATTTGATTTGTTCTAAGCAGTTGCCCTCTAACTGGAAAAACTGCCCCCATGGCCAAGAGTGACTTAAACACTCACATGAACTTCCCTTGCTCTACCATACGAAATCATGATTTTGTAATGGGATCATTCTTATTAATAATTGTGTCTAATGACTTACAATTCTATTGTACTCTGGTTTTAACTTCAAAGCAGGTAATATACCATTTCTTACGAAATACCGACTGGGATTGGAAATTATTCCTACTAGGAAAAAATTGGTACAGCACCTTTCATGTCAGAAGGATATCCAAATACTTCAAAGGATATACTGTAAGGTGTGGTGACTAATATTTGTAAGTGAAATGCAGTAGCTAATTTGTGCAGACAAACAGCCATGAATTGAATGCTCAATTTTATTTGAGGGATTGTTGGCTCAATGACAAAAAATACAGTCATACCACTTCAGTTAATTTGACACTATTTGAAGAAAAAGTTTGTCCTGGTGACTTGGCCAACAATTTGATAAATTAATCATTCGCCCCCTTGTGGGGCTGTGAGCAAATTGGCTGCTGCACCTGTCCAGAAGTTGGTCAATGCCTCAATAGTCAGCAACCAGTGTAAATACGTTAGGACAGCCTCCTGCAGAGGAAGGTGCTATAATAAATTTAACACTATTGTAAAGTGTCCAATTTTTCTCATTTTCTCCCCATGCATATTGCATCTCTGTTCCTCATCTGACTCCTCTTTCTGGAGTGCAGTTTTATGGACACTGGTTGTTCTCCAGGATCCCACTTCAGTAGTTATTGTTCATGTCTGATCCTTGGCAATGCAGCTACTTAACTCGCTACTCAACTCCCCATCAGGTTGCTTCACATGAACATTACCAGTAGATGGTGCTGCACAGTAGAAATCCGGGCTAGTCTCAATTCTGAAATGCTAGGGATAATTTAGCCTCTCCCATGAAGTATCAGCTAAAACCAACAAACTCAGTTACAGTTTGGTCCACTTTATCATCAAAGCCGTCCTACCTTATAGGTGCAAGGACAAATGGAAGAGCACTCCATAAATTAAAGTTATTGCGAGTGGATCTTTTAACAGTCTAAATATCTCTTTCAACCCCTCCCGAACACTTCATACCAGTTGCACATAAATTTGCATTCCACAGGCAAATATCAGAACTAACACAAGGTTAAGGTTTTCAGAATTTTATTCTAAGCAGAAAACAAGTGAAGGATAGATACTTTATAGATATTTTCAGGATACTTGTCTTCAGCTTCTATGAATTTGGTCACACTTGCATTACAGTACTTCACAATCAGATTGGTTCCCCTACAACTGTTAAACAGTGTGAAGAGCAAATGGTTAACTAGATTGTTTTAAAAAGCTCACAGCTGAATTACCAATTTAGCATGTCCTAAACATTGTTTTGCAAACCAAGCCTACCTTTTCCCCCCCCAATTGCAAGCACGCTGTAATATATTTTAAACCAATGCAAGACTGGAATGGCTTCAATACGAGTAAACGTTGGTTTCCCCAGACATGTAAGAATAGGGAACTACTGTTCAAGGCATTAATTTAATTTAAGGAATGAATTGATTTCAAAAAAGGTGGTGCTGCATCAAGTGCTGTCCTCCACCTCTTTATAAGAGAAGGTAAATACAAAAGAAAAAGCATTGAGAAAACAAGGAAAAGTAAAATGACAAGAAAATCATTTAAAATACATCTGTAATTTTTACATATTAAAGAAGGTCTACTACCCAAGTGAAGGAAGAATATTTTAGTCTGAAATAGGTATGAGAGGAATTAAGAAGGGGTTCATGGCAATACGATGCAGTGTTTTGGGTAATTAACTGACACTTCTCTGCACATTTTATATGAGCCCTGCATTTTTGGAAACAAATATTTTGAGCTCTAATGGATATTTTTTGTAATCAGTGCAAGTGATTTTGCTATAATGGATATACAGTATTATAAATCATAACCTCATACTTAGTTAACTAGACCAACACTGCAAATACTATATTTTCAGTTTCATTGTGTTTGATAAATGGGCATGATCTTAATATGCCCAATCACAAGATTGATCTCAATTGCTGGTACCATTTTCAGGCTGACATTTATTTTGGATTTTAATCTAGTTTAACCAGTTCCTGCCTTACAGAATAATGCTAGAGATTTCCACCAATTTAAATGGATGCAGATAACAAGATTAGTGTTTTTTAGCTCAGTAATGGACAGATGGCTTTCTCAATTTCACTTTGCATGCGAAGGACAGAAGTCGACATTAAAAGTTTGCTCTGTGTGATCAACAGATTTAAAAACATATTGAAGTTTGATGATCAAACCAACTTCTTATTAAAAGTCTTTAGGAGACTCTCTCAATCATTCAACACCCCAGGAAAACGTATTCACCAATGTGAGATGGTTTTATGCAATGTGGCTTGGAGAAGGGGGAGTTTTATACACTGTAATGCTTGAAGAGTGATTTAGAACTTAAATATAGTATATTAGCTCAATCATTGATACATTTAGTGATGAGTATGGATATTTACAGATTGTTTCGCCCCCAGCCAATGCAGATCTTTAATTGTACAGTACAGTATTCCCTTTCTTATACACTCATCTTCAGTCTCATAATTTTCATGGTTTTGTGTAGTTGCTGTATTTTGACAGCGTAATTGCTTTTGCCTTTCTGAGAGCTATTTACAAGTCAGCCAGCTTGCAATGTGTATTTAAGTTGCAGGCTCATATAGAGGTAACCAGATATACTTATTAAATAAAAAAAACTACCAATCTGAAATAACATTTCAAAATGTCGATCAGCATCTGAAAGAGAAAAGTTAACATTTTGATTTTATCTTTCGTCAGAGCAGTAAAAGTTAGCACTAGAACAGTTGGGCTGGAAAAATGCATGTGTGGGATAGAGCACAGAAGTTTGGGTCACACTAAAGAAAAAAAACATTAAGAAGCAGTTAAGCATTGAAAACCATTGCCTAACTATACAGAGTCAGCAAATGGGTCATTAAAAGCTTGTGTAATGCTGGAAAGGTGTTTGAGAACTCAGTGTTAATATTTAAAATGACAGAAATATAATCAAGAGATAGAGGTGAATGAGAGTGGAAAGTCAGTTTCGTGCTCAGGAGATGAGAAAACAGATCATCCAAAATTAAAATAGATGTAAATGGCGAATACAAAACAGGGTAATTAGGCAGCAGCAATCACTGAGATGAAAAGAAAATCAGGGAAAGTGATCAGAGTGTTAAAAGTACAAGACAAGAGTCTGATAAAGTTAGTCAATCCCGAGGGTGGAAGAATTCAAGGTAAGGGCAGCTTTTTTCTCGTGCTTAACCATTCCCATTCAATTAGTATTGCTGAAAGTTTTCATCTGCGCAATATTTAGTCAAATAAATTGCAATGGCAACAACTCGCAACAAATTAGGAAGCCACAATCTCACAAATTTCTACATTACGATTCTTATCTCTAGTAGATTGCTGAAAAATTGATACTTGGTACACATTGTTGAGCACCTATCAGTTTGTGTTTGGATTTGTCACAGTCCAATATTGGAAACCGGTATCATGAAAACATAGAAATCTACATTGCAGAAGGAGGCCATTCGTCCCATGCAGTCTGCACCGGCTCAGTATTCATTGAAACTACAATTTGTTCAAGGAATGGAAAATCCGCCACATCTTTCTTGCAGGCTTAGGAAGCAGAGGGGCCTTGTACTGTAACAGAACTGAAATTTCAATCAAATTTGATTTATATCATTTGTAATTTACTTTGCAGAGCTTTAATGAAACAGCTCGATTCTGAAATGCCAGGACAACAATATTTTAGGACAGGATCAAATGGGCCGAAGAGCAATCTTCGCCCATTCCTCTCTAGTGATCTTGTGTTCTATGCTGACAGTAATGTGTTCTATTCAGTTCAACCTACATGATAAAAAAAAGCACAAATATTAAATTACAGGTACAAGTGATCTGCTCATTAAAATGTCACATATTTTATGTGAATTATTTGCTTTCATATAGTTCAGCAAATACCTTTGAAAATAATCATATGCAGTAAAGATTGGGGCTTTGGTCTTGTAATTACATTTGATACGCAGTGCTTCTTAGTGATGTTCCAGAAGCCACTTGGAAGAGAATTTAATTTTCAGTGAAAAATTCAAAAGTTAGGGCTAGCGAATTTTTAAAAATGTTTTATCCATAAACTTCTTTGAATGAATGACTGACACACTCATTGAAATATGTTAACCGACTTCTATAAGGGAGCCTGTGCCAATACAATCTATAGCAAGATGGTGCACAATCAAACTTCCTTTAAGATCAGTGTTATAGTGGTTGTTACAGAGAAGGGCACTACTATGGTAATGGCACTGGTTTTAAAACCAGGTTCAACACCTACCAGACACATTTATTATTCTGCTTGCATAAATATGAAAAAAATTAAGCTGAATGGATGTCGTAAATGTGCAGTTGGCATAATTCGTTTCAACACAAGTCTATTTCTATGAGTTTTGTTTATACTGAGAAACACAGTCAATTTGAGAGTAATTCTTCCCTGATGAAAGTTTTAACCGGTACCCATTCACGAATCTGACTGTGAAGGAGCTAGTTCCCAGCTGCTCCAGATATAGTTCACAAGTACATGCCATTGATGAGGTAGTCAGACTCCTCAGACGATATCGGACGAACTTTTTTGAGCTTTTGTCTCACTAGTCGTAGTCTGCAACCCACCATTAACAAGAGCAAGGCAGTGATAGCCAGTCCCAGAGCCAGCGGCAACACAGCACCTACAAAGGAAAACAAATAATGTACAATGACTTACTGCACTTGAAACCCCAACTTGATATAGCTTTTATTGATTTCAGCCACTTCAAACCATAACAGCTCACCTTTCCCCCCCTCCCCCTCTTTCTGTTACCAGAAAAGTTATCTTCTGTTATCATTACAATCATCACCCAACACACACTTTGCCTCTCTCTGGTGTGTTGCCTGTTCTGGACTATTAAACCTCTTCTCCCCAGTTTTGTTTCAACGCACCCCACCTTTTGTTGCACAACCCCCCTTTTGTTTAATGCCACTATCACATCTTTAACCCATCAACTAACACATCCTCTCCTTTGTCGTCCTTGTCCTGCTTCCCCCTCTTAACTTGTCCTTAAAAACCTCTCCCTCCCAACATGCCCCAGTTCTGACGAAGGATCGTGGACCCGAAACGTTAACTCACTTTCCTTTCTCCGTAGATGCTGCCTGACCTGCTGACCTGCTGAGTTTTCCCAGCTCTCTGTTTTTGTTTCAGATTCCAGCATCTGCAGTATTTTGTTGATATAGCTTTGTCTTTTTTCATCTTGGTTGAGGAGGATTTATCAGTGCAAGTATCACAAGAGGGAGATTCCTGGCCAACAACTTCCTCCCCCAGTTACAACTGGTTATTCCTTTCATGGTTGTTTGTGAGCCATTACTGGGCACAAATTAGCTGCCATGTTTGCAAACAAAAGTCACTCCACTTTCAGTAAATCCTGTGAAGTGCTTTAAGTCCTCCCAATACGAAAAGCGCTATATCAAATGCAAGTATTATTAGGATTATTGTAATTTTCCCAAGGTGAAAGTTATGATGTTTATTTTCCAAATAACTAATAGAATTTTAAAAAATATGGCTGCTTAGTTTTAACACTGGTTTTAAAATGTACTGACAAATAAAATCAGTCTTGAAAGCACAAGAAGTAGCCATTTCCCTTCACTCTTGTGTGCAGTTTGGCCGTCCCTTTCACCTACAAATAAACAGGAAAATCAATCCCTCTTTCTGAACCTTTGCATGTTATTTCTTGTACTTCAACCTAAATAATCAATTAATCCAGTGCATGGCACTGAAAAGCATGCTTCAGCAGTAAGAACCATTACATTTGTTCATTTTTCAATTGGGTCTCACATAGCACTGCACAAAATGAAAAAAGTAGGTGAGTGATCTCTCCCAGTGCCACTTTGAAGCTGGCCACAAAGTGGGCCATGAGAGAAGCTTCTTAGATCTTCCTCAATAGGAAGATCACGATAGATCTTCCTCAAATCCTCCCTCCCTGTGCTCAGGATTTGCACAGTGAAGCACAGAAGTAGTGCAGTGTGGGGATATCTATGCCTTACCCTCTCTGTAAGAGATAATGTCGAGACAAATAGCAATTACTGACCTGACTCAGGCACAGGATGGCCACCTCCCACCTGGTTAATTTTGGATATTATTTCATGTTCACTTGTCTCAACTGAACTCGTCTCTGGAGAATCTTCACCTGGACAAACAATGAAAAGTCACTCAGCAGATACTACTTCCCCATAGGTTTCCCCCTCCCCCCAGTCAGATATGTGGAGCACTTTGAGACATTCTCCCAACATGAAAGGTGCTGTATGGATGATGCTATTTTAGAGATATGGTGCTTATTCTAGCCCAGTAGCACACAATAATGGCTTTGAAGTAATAAATAATAATCCTTGCATTAGATATAGCGCCTTATCATGTCGTTGAGACGTCTCAAAGCACTTCACAGGCACACAACAAAATGATGCGACTGTGTGTATGTCAATACATTGCCACCTGCTGGAATATTTTAAAAAATACAGATATGGATCAACTCCAATAGCAGGTAGAACTGTAGTTTCTGGACCAGGAGCTCACAGGTTCAAATCTCAATCTGTGCTGAATTTCCTAAATCTCAGCACGGGGAGGCTAAACTGTCCTTGCCCGTCCTAGGGTGAGGGAGGGAAAAACCAGCCACGGTTCGCGCTCCTGAACCCTCCACTGGGACAGTAAGAGGCACGTGTGTGGCAACCGTATAGAGAGAAGTCAGACTCTACAGTCGCATGGGCTGTTGGCACTCACTGTCATAAACAACAGTCACTTGGAAAGGGTGCTGGATGGTAACCATCACCTATACAACTGCAAAAGTCTCAGCTTCATTCCCTTACGCCCTCACCTCAATGAATTTCGAGCCAGTTCTAATGAAAAGTCATCGACCTGAAACGTTAACTCATTTTCCTCTCTCCAAAGATGCTGCCTGACCTACTAAGTGTTCCTAGCAACTTCTATTTTTATTACCTATAGAACTGTACCCCACCAAGAGGAGACTGGGAAAGATTTGGAAATGTCATGTGGGGCTTGGCTGTGCACAACTTGGCTGCCTCACTGACCTTTCAAGCTTTTTGAGACACTGACAATGTGATAAGGCTCTTTATCAAAGATGAGGATTATTATTATTATTATTAAAACTACAGTACCAATCTTTCCCAAACATTGCGGTAGAATACTGTACACTTCTCAGAGGAAGTGACCTTTGTTGCCTTTCCAGCCACTGCAGATGAAATGGTTTACGGTTTTCAGTATGAGAGCTGGTCTTCACATTGACCTACAGCAACAGGGTCAGCTAGTGATCTGCAAGATATCTAGGTCCAGTGGATTTAATGAAATTCCAGACTGCTATTGAGTTAGTATAATCGCACTGTTAAAACAAATAGAGCTCTCATGAATCGTTCAGAAATGCAATCTGCTGAACAAACTGTTCGCAGGTCTGCTTCTGGTTTCTGATATTTTAAAAGACAGTGTAAAAGTTACATGGACACAATAAAGAATCTAAGTCTCAGTGGGAAATAAACAGAATAGAATTTTGTGGAATAAATGTGAATAGAACAAGGATTAAAGTTTTGATATGCTCCCTCTCCCTATCTGAGGCAACCGCATGCTGATGCTCAGTCACTTACAAGCTGCCCATCAGTTCTGACAAGCAAAACATTGATCTATCTTTCTCCTTTCAAATACTGATCAAGGTGCTGTGCATATGCTGTGTTTGTGTAGAAAAATCAGGGAACGTTACAACAGTTTGTTCATCCTCCCTTTGTGTTCTTAGTGAAGGGGTGGTCAGGGGGAGAGGGCATTGAATGGAGAGGGCACAGAATGTTCCTCACCAGCAGGTCCAGGTAATGTGAGGTAGTGAGGAGCAAGATCGTGGAAGACTTTAAAGGTGAAATGAGGGGAAAATTAAAGGATTATTATTATTTTAATAAATTTCAATGCAGGGTTCTCAGGCCCATTACATGCCTGTTACTCTGGTAATTTCAGTCTTCTGACAACAATGAACAGGTAAGAAAGAAACTTGTATTTGCAATTTCAGAAAGGTTAGTTTATTGAGCTGATTTACATTCAATTGTCAAGTCACTAATTTGGCTCTACATGAGACTGCTGCTATCAGTCTCTTGCTCTATCATTCTCACTGCTTGAAAGGGGATAATGTCATTTTATTTTTTCAGACCTCGCTAATTTCATATTTTTAAATCATAATTACATTATAACTGTGAATTTTGTTGGAACTAAATGAGAAAAATTCCTGCAGTTTTATAGATTATTACTGGCAGTAATTGTGCTCCCCTCCTTGTTAATGAGCAGTTTGTTGTAATGGTGATCTCATTAGTGATGGAAACTGGCACGGGTCCAGACCAGACAGAAAAAACTCCCGAAGATCTCAGTATATGCAAAATGTTATATAGAATTATACAGTGCTTTGAGGCGTCCTCCTGATGTGAAAGACGCTATATAAATTATATTGTAAATTGTATTGTATCTGTAACAGTACAACATGGAAAGATGCCATTCAGCCCAAACAGTCCATGTTTGTGTTTGTCTTCCATATAAGCCTCCACCCCATCCAATCCCCTCTCCTGTAAAATGTTACATTTTTGCTTGTGTCTATTCTGAAAGGAGCAAATCTTTAAGACCTGATTAACAGGGCTTTCGGCATCACGAGTGAAAAGCTGCCCATCATGATTGCACAGAATCAAGGGGAAAATGAAGTTCTCATTTGACATTCAGTTGCTTGCATTCTGTATCCAGATTTTTAATGTGAAAATTAAAAGGAGATGAATGGTTGATTCCTAAACCACCTGACTGTAGAAGCTAAGGAGGCCAATGTGACCTAGGAATGGTGAAGACCTTCCAAAGTTTTCAAATCAGCCCAGTCCATCACTGAACAAATCTGAAATTATGTTAGTGCAGTGCCCAAGGTTCTGCCTTACTGAGCTGAGTGAAACATCATATGCTGTTAATTGCTTCTTTGGCTCCCGAAAAGCAAGCGCGTGAGGGTGAGCAAAAGTGGATAAAATTGAACAGAAACTGGTATGAAGTATGAAAGGTAACCACCCCTACCCCACGTTTTCTTTCATGACCCAAACATTAGTCGTGACGTTCCTTTTATTGCATGAAAAGAAAGCAGTCTCTCTCCTCCAACCCCTCCCTGAGTCCCCTGTCCTGCAAGTAGCACAGGTGGTGCTTTGAATCAAGATAGACTGCATTTCATTATTGCAGGAGAAACTTGGGCGAACATTGCACATTGGCATATCCCGGTTTGATGGCCAAGCACTGCAGGCAGCGGAGATGGCCATGTGCCACCTGGCAAGATATAGTGCAGTGGTTAAAGGAAAAACAATGCTGAGCAGAGCTGAACTATGTGGACTGTAGGGAATGGCCACAGTACTGGAGTTGAGGGAAAAGAACTGATGCAACAGCACAGCAAAAGGCCCAGAAAAACCATCCTGTGGCATCAATGTATGACATCCATGTATATTCTCCTTATATTTTGCATTTCATTAAAAACACTTAATATGATCACAATGGTTCAAGAATAATTTATGATGGGGGTGGTTTTCCACATTCCGAGATGCTACCCCACATGAAGGGCACTATATAAATGCAAGATTTGTCAGATCTATCATATCTTTAAAAGGATCATGTGAAGTCTCCTTAGAATACAATACAAATTTACACTTAATAGGGTGCCTTTCATGTCGGGAGGACTTCCCAAGTGCTGGCGTGGAACCTGAATTGGGGGTGGGAGCCTAGGAGGGTAGGGAGGGGGAAAAATGACACGGTCACAATCAAAGAGATAGGTTGTTCCTACAGTTTATCCGGATTCACCAGTGCAGCACGTGAAGAATGCTGCACAACAAACAATGAACCATGATATGAACATAAGCACTCCACCTGATAAATTTGACCAGTGCACTCACATCTTTGTAACCTACTAGCCCATTAACAGATCATAATTTTTGGCTATCTCACTTACCAAGCTAAAGGTTTCCAGATTAGAAACACATCCATTTTATAAAGGCCAAGTATGCCTTCATCTGAAACAAATTGCTTGCAGCATTAAGGTTGCTTTTCAGAGTCAGAACCTGCAACTGAAGCTCTTTCAGTCAGAACCAGGCCAATACCAATTTGGTGTATAAATACATGGATGAATACGGAGATAACAATCTGAATTTCTGGCTAGAAATCCAAAACCTGAATTTAAACCAAACTCTTAATTCAGTTTAGTCAACATTCGCTAATGAAAATTCCTGCAGCGACAGATATAAATCCTGTGGGCAATTTCCACTCATGTTGTCGACAGAGATTGGTAGCAGGTTTGCTCCCCTCTGATAACAAATGAGACCGATAAGGTGCATCCAGACTGGAGATAGAAACTGAGCAGCATTATGCAAATCACTGCAGAAACTGGAATAAAATACTGTGAAATGTCCTTCACAATAAAGAACTGATTTTGAAGTCTGATTTGCATTACCAATCTGTTAACGGTCTCAGCTGGCTTTTGCAATTCATTATCAGCATGTACCCATCTGTGTATGAAGAAAACATCCATTTCTGAATATATTATTTCCTAACCATTTTTTTCTCCATCTCTCGGAGGTATTGGGATTCTTTTTTCTTTCTATTTCTGTCTTTCAGACTCCCTCCGATAACTCACCTAATTGTCCACCATTCATGTGAATTTTGACAGCAATGAATATTGACATGTTGTACAGAGAATTACAGTGAAGCCCAATCCAATCCACAGAGTGGGTCTTTGGATAGTAATCAGGAGCAGGAACCCTAGCTGATTTCTTCTTCCCTAAAAATGGGTGCTGAAGTCAACAATTGCTCTCAAGATCACACACAATCAGTTAGCTCAACACAGGAACCCATAGGACAGCATGGCCCAGTCCTGTCCACTGTACCCATTTTTCAATATTTAAACTGTACATTTCTGACTTGGTGTCCTTCACTTCTTTGGCTGCTTATGAGACACTGTTGTGTAAAAATTGGTTCCCGCATTCGCCTACAGAATACACAGTGTCTCCACTTTACAGTAAATCCTGTGAAGCGCTTTGCACCCAACATTATATCAAATGCAGTGGATTATTATTAATTTAACAAAGATATATGGTTACTCTATACCACTTGTCGTAGACAAACCTGGAAATAACCCATTGTCAGGTTTCCCTCCTTCTGCAACAGGCGACTGTGTCTCGCTGGTGCCATGTGGCTGGAGGGGTCTTGGTTCCTCCATTGAAACCTTGTGTACGTTTTCAACTGATGACCAAATTGCATCATTTTGGTTCAACCCCGTTGTCCTCGACTGTGTTGTGCTGCCGCTGAGAGTTGTGTGGGTAACAGATTTGCGACCTGTATTAACTTTAGCAAAAAAAAAAGTGCAGTGTGTATACATGCATCGCAACGTCTTTTGCTTAGTTACTCAGGTTCATAAATTTAAAGTGTAAATTGTTTGACCCTTCTCCCCACCACACTGTACTTACAGCTTTGGCAGAAAGCTTCATCAGATTCATCAGAGCACTGGGCAGTTCCATCACAGGCCAAGATGATGTCAATGCAGCAACCATCATCACAGATGAACTGGTACCTTGTGCATATACCGGTACAATCTGCAGAAGCAGCAAGAAGCTGCGTTACCAGGAAAGTGAGGACAATCATTCCCCAAACAACCTGAATGTCACACAGTAATCCGCAATCAAAACAAGAGTGAATTAGATGATTGCCAATATAATTGTTCCTCATCAATCATTCCCCCATGAGAAGAATCAGCCTCATTGCTCTCCTCCATACAACACTGAGGGTGGGGGCTGATCCCTCAGGTCGTGGTGACCAATACTCTAGGTGAAGTCTGACCAGTGGCCTGCACAAGTTGAGCATGATCTGGGGATTCTGAGCTCATTTGATTTGGCAGTGTAGCACAGCAGCTCTGGCTTGTTTCATAATCTTCACATGCTGAGTGACGAGCTAACTAACATTCCTAGATCTCTTTCAACTTCAAGATCCTCACTTGTCTTCAAATCCCTCCACTCCTCTGCAACCCCCTACCTCTCTGACCTCCTCTCTCCTCACAACAGTGCCCATTGCCTTTGCTCCACCAGGTCTGGCCTCCTCCTTGTCCCCTGAGTCCTCCACTCCACCATCGGCGGCCGTGCCTTCAGCCACTATGCTCCGAGGTTCTGGAACTCCCTTCCTCACTCCCTTCGCCTCGCCCCCTGTCTTCCTATTTTCAGGTCTCGGCTGAAGACCTTTCTTTTCGACCGCGCCTTTGGTCACCTTCCTCCCCCTCCCTCTGGCTCGGCCCCGGGATCCGTTACTGTGAAGCGCTCTGAGACTCCGTCCGGCGTGGAGGGCGCTATATAAATCCAAGTTGTTGTTTTTGTTCTCTCTTGGCACTCTATTCATGGAGTGCATGACCCTTCTAATTTATTTCCTATGTGCAATGCTGTACATTTCTCTGCTATTATTTATTTGTATCATGTTGTAATGTAGATTCAGTCTTTAACTTGTGTAGTTAACTACATACAGTATTAGCCAACCCAGTGCCAGTCTGGTCGGGAAAAGTGATGAGTGCAGCAGGCATCTGTCTGGAAGCGTTGAAATTTGAGCCAACCTCCGCATAGTTGAGAAGCTGGTTTTGCCTTTCAGCATTCAGCCTGGCATTTTGCTGGCAGTTTTCTCAGCTCAGCAAAACCTAGCCAGTCTGACCTTGCAAGACAAGGATCAGCATCCCTAAAGCCAACCATCCCTGGTTCCGATTCCTCATCAATTCCATCGTTCTGCCTCCTGTGAAACTAAGTGTCTTGCACAGCTGACAGCACTTTGCAAGCGAGCTCCCTGGGGCTCAATTAAGTTTTAAACTACAGAATAAAGTGGGAGAAGTCGTAAGTAAATATTTCTCTCTCTACAGACACTGAATTGATATCGCTGCATTTACTTTACACTTCATCTTCGTTAGGCTGGAGGATGATGATGATGATAGTAATATTAATAATAATAATCCTTGCATTTGGTATAGCACCTTACCAGGCTTTCGAAACATCTCAAAGCGCTTCAAGGAATATACTGTAAAGTGAATTGACTGTATATTTTGTGGGCGAAACACAGCAGCCAATTGCGCACAGCAGTGTTCCACAAATAATCGTGAATTGAATTTATTTTAAGGGATTATTACCCTCAGAAAAGAAATCAGCCAATTGACTAACAACCAGGTTCCTGCTAGGTAAACAGAGGCTTGTGGAGTAAGGAAACGTGCATAACATTTCACCCTGCCCAGGAATCGATCCGAGGTCCTCTCCCTTGGGAGGCGAGTGCTCTAACCAATACGCTAAAGGACTCCACTTTGTTGAATCTTGTCTTGGAGTCCTGTAGCTCAGTGGTTAGAGCACTCGCTTTGCAAGTGAGAAACCTGAGTTCAATTCCAGTCAGGGCGAAACCTTGGGCAAGTTTCCTTACTCCACACGCCTAATAATAATCCCTCCAAAACCAAAAACAATAATTAAAATTGGTCATTTTCAATCTACGACTGTTTGTGAGACATTGCTGTGCGCAACTGGGCTGCCGCGTTCGCCCACAAATATAGTCAATTCACTTTACAGTGTGTTCTGTGAAGCGCTTTGGGACGTCCTCCCGATGTGAAAAGCGCTATATCAAATGCAAGGATTATTATTATTATTATTATTGCAAGATCAGACTGGCCAGGTTTTGCTGAGTTTTGCTCAAAGATACTTTTGAAAGATGGATATTTTGTGTATTATAAGGAGCCCATAATACGGCATAAAACAGAGCAAAGAAGCCTTTTAGCAGTGGAAATATGTACAATGGAATCTTTCACTGCATTGTTGGAGGCATCGTCTTTCAGATGAATATTAAACCAAGGTTCGACCTTCCTGTTTGGAGAGACATTAAGGATCTCTTGACACAGTCTTATAGCAGATTTTGTACTGTGTCCAGAGATTGGAGTGGAGCAGGAAGGAATGGAATGTACATCGTGTACTACAGTACTGAGGTTTTCACTTTAGATCACAGTTGGGAACTGACCTGTTGTTTGATGTTTCTGAGGCACCACAGTGACAGTGATGTTGTCAGAGCTCTTTTGGCCCACCGTGTCAGTGACTGACAACTGGACCACATATACACCTTCTCGCAAATTGGTCAGCTTGAGCATTCCAGGCTGTGGAGACTGCAAAACAGTGAACACAAGAATTTGTTTTATTAACAAAAATAAATAGTGCACACAAGAAACAAAGGGATACAATTGTGGGGGGAGGGTAGATACTGAAAAATGTAGGATTCACAACAGTTTACATATAATATTGAATCCTGTCAGTAGCTGGATCATCCTGACCAGTGGAAAATCCACACTGGATTTCCAAAACGACATCCAGCATTGCAAGCCGCCTTGGTTCAATATTTCACAGAAGTATTGTCCTGCTGCTGAGTAACAGCAAATACCAGAAGTGTTTGATTACATGAGTACAACAATGAACAGTAAACGCGGTAATATCATACTGCGCAGGACATGACATAATGTGAAACCTTTATGCCATTCTTGCCTGTCACTGTACAGAACAAAAATAATCGTTGCATTTGGTACAATACTTCATCATGTTATTAAGATGTCTCAAAGCGCTTCACAAGATTTTTATTGCAAAATGTACTGACTGTATTTGTAAACGGATGTGGCAACCAGTATGCCCACAGCAATATCCTATAAACAGCCATTAAGTGAGTGACCAATTTTATCTGGAGAATTGTTGGTCAGGACACCTCATCCTTCTTTTCTAATAGTGCCAGAATCACAACCACGGTCTCCTTTGTTCCACCTCGCCCTGCTCACTTTCTTTCAACTCATTTCTTCAGCCCTTCTACCTTTATTTTAAGTTTGTTTCATGTTATTTCCCACTTTGCCTCATATCTTTGATTGTCAATAATAAACAGCCAACATAATATCTCACAGTTCAATGGAAAAGTTCAGTAAAACTTAGCTGATAGCTTTGGACGAACAAAGATCATCTGACTGGAGCTGCCTATGAGTTTTATGCCCACAATATACACTTGTAAAATATGCTGTGCATTATTTTGCAGCATCTTTTAAGTGAAGCGCATCATTGTATCGCAAATCAAATAAACAAAAGCATTTAGTCAGAGAGAGAAAGAGAGGGGGGAAGGAGAAGGGAGGGGACGAGAGGGAGAGAGAGATGGAAGGAAGGAAGGAAGGAAGGAAGGAAGGAAGGAGTAAGACACATAGGAACATCTGTCAGGAAATGCAAAGACGTGTGTGACAGATCAAGATTATCCCCCCCTTGTTTATCAAACAGATGTCTTTTCTTTCTTTTTTATGTCAAAACAAACTTTCTGAATTGCAAAGTCCTTTGGTGTTACAAAAGTCACTGAGTTACATGTAGTGAGCTACATGTAACTCACCAACTCATTAATAATGCAAATAAATTAAGTTACATAGAGTTACTTGTAGTGATTTGATATTGCACAGAAACAGGCCATTCAGCCCAAATAATCCATATTGGTGTTCATATTCCACAGGTGCCCCTCATCTACTATTACCATTTCCTATACCTCTCCCTTCCCTTCTTTTTCTCATGTATGCATCAAGTTTCCTCTTATTTTGCGATTCTCTTCATTATTCACCCACAAAATATACAGTCAATTCACTTTACAGTATAATCCTGTGAAGCGCTTTTGAGACGTCTCAACGATGTGATCAGGGACTATATCAAATGCAAGGATTATTATTATATTCACCACCCGCTTTCCGGTTTCAAGTCACCTGTGAATGTAAAACTGAACCTCCTATACCTGAATCCAAAGCCTCCATGCACAAAGTGGACAGTGGCGGTCTTACTATGGATCCCTGCTGAACACCACTTTTTTACTACTTGACAGTCTGACAAACTGCATTTTATGCCTATTCTATTTTCCAGCCATGTCTCAATCCATTCTGCTACCTCTTCCTTTCACTGAACATGGCCTTATTTTAGTATCTATTTTAGATAAGATACATTACCAGTTAAGAATATTCAATTTGATATCGGACTATATTATTAACTCTTTTTCACACTCATGTAAATCAATACATTTATATCTTGTTCAAAGCTTCTGGTCTGTGTGATAATATCAACCTTTGGTAGAGGGCTTAGTGAAACAGAGTGCAAACACACAAAACATAACAATCAAACAATCAGTATTAGGAGACCTCAGCAATCCTTCACATTAATTAATTGGTTGTTCACCTCACGGCTCTTTGTGGGACCTTGCAGGTGATAAAGGGCTGCCAAGTTTGCCTACAAACTTCCCTTGACAGCAATTACTTGTGAAACGCTTTGAAATAATAATAATATATAATAATAATAATCCTTGCATTTGATATAGCGCTTTTCACGTCAGGAGGACGTCCCAAAGCGCTTCACAGAACACACTGTAAAGTGAATTGACTGTATATTTGTGGGCGAACGCGGCAGCCAATTGCGCACAGCAATGTCCCACAAACAGTCGTAGATTGAAAATGACCAATTTATTATTGTTTTTGGATTTGGAGGGATTATTATTAGGCGTGTGGAGTAAGGAAACTTGCCCAAGGTTTCGCCCTGTCTGGAATTGAACTCAGGTTTCTCACTTGCAAAGCGAAATATTGTTGTTGATTCATTCAAACACAAATATGACAACCAAACTACATTGAGATAGGAAGCGTTTGATTTCTGTGTGAAGGGTGTTGCTTGTCGAATGTCCTATCTAGTATGGACAGCTTTTCAACACTATTTGTTGACTGAACCAGTGACTCATTCGGCCTTCACTACTTATTCAAACACAAAGCAGCTGCTCAAGTATTACACAATAATGTACAGAGTTTGCTACCAGCCTAAAGAAGGGCCCAGTGAAATTAGGAAATTTTGTTACTTTCCATTTGGATACAAAATTCTAGTAAAAGACAGTTCTTTTGGATCATAGGAATAGATTCCGCTTTACAGCATATTATAATTATATACAGAAATAATCAATTCCACAGAACACATTACCACCAACAGAATTCTTTTCAGGTCAAAATCATAGAAATGACTCCAGAAATAGGCCATTCAACCTGACAAGTTTGCATTGGTGCTATTCTCCATGTGAGTCACATAATCTAACTCCAATTTCCCGATTGCTATCCATACCCTTTAGGATTCTTTGTGGCTGGGAATTTTGCTTTCCACCTACACTCTGCCTAAGGAAAATTTTACACACCAGCTGGTAAAGAAACATCCTCTTTAATTTTTTTGTGATTGTCTTGAATTTACGCCATCTTGTTGCTGGTTTGCCGACCATTGGAAAGAATCTATTACTAGATATATCTGTTATATCACAGTGGATTTGGAGTTGAACTTCGATGCTGAGTTGGCTCCAAGGTGACATGTTTGGCAATCGAATGTCAGAATCGAGCCCACCTTCTGTGGCAGTCTCGGTAGTCCAGTTTGTGAGCCAGGAACTGCTGTCGATGGTTGCACAGTCAGTCTGGCCCAATGGCAGGTCTTGGAAGAGCAGCCAGGTCACTGGGGCAGGGACTCTTCTCACACAGTTCTTGTTAAACCTGCGAACCAAAGCCTTAACAAATAGGGTGGTTCTAGCTGGACAAGCAGTGGGAAAGTTTGCCAGACAGTGCTTTCAATGGCAAGCTATGCATTTTTAGCTGCGTAAACTCCAAAAGCACTCCAAAGCACACTCTAGGGTCCCTAAACCTTGGCACTAGACAATCTGCGTCTCTAACATCCCAACCCCACCCACACCCCAGAATTAGGTAAGCAGGAAGCATATCATGAGGGAGAGAATCCGCGTTCCGTTCCACTAAATATCTCTGGAATTTCTATGTCAGGTGGGATGCATGGAAATCTATTTGATTTGGAATATCCTTAAGCATAATAATGGGTTTCCAAAGTGTCAGTCACCTGGCTGACCAAAGAAAAAAAGTGTGTTGCATACATACTCGCAATGCGCAACAAATGTCCCTGATGTCACGTCCTACATGCTGTGCATATAGGCTGATATAATTTCCTTTGAGCTATAAACATGCCAGTACTAAACGAGGGTCGACCTGAGGTTATTTTATAACCGCATCATACAAGTAACATGTTTGAATCATTGGAATGCAGGTCACTGGACCTGCTGAGCATTAGAGTTAGTTGATTCTAAGCCAGAACATAGTAGTAATGAGTTGTTATAATACATATTGCACCTTAAAAAGGAAACAGATACTTCTGATTCTGTACTCCAGGTACACTTCAGTTACAAGTTAAGCATCAACAAGAACCACTGATCCACAATCTGGACACTTTCCCCATCCCATCATCAGAAGGAAGCTTAACAAAGGAAGCAATGGGGGAGATTGGGAAAGGTTGAAAGGAAATGTACATGGAACCAAATACCTTCAGATCTACAGAAGGATCCCCTTGTAACAAAGTCCATTCGTAGCGTACTATTCCATGATCATCGACGCTGCCTCTTCCATCCAGTATCGCCCAGTCAGTGGGCAGCAAAAGCATCACATCCTGGCCTGCATTGCTCTGTGGAGGGTCATCTTTCCCTACAGACAGTAAAGTGGAAAACACAGGGATATAATGAAATGAGAATTATATACTTTGATGAAAAATTTAAAAATTATGGTGATTTCATAAATGCAAAGCAATGTGATGCTACATCTCTGTATAATACTTGTAGAGCACCTTACATAGCACCTTATTTCGTCATCAAGATATCTTAATTTGCTTCACAAGATTCACAGTGTGGTGATTGTGTATTTGTAGGCAAACGTGGCAGCAAAGTTGTTCACAGCAATGTCTTGAAGTGAATGCACAATTTTATTTGGGGGAGTGGAGAATGACCAAGACACCAGGAGAAATGCCCTCCTGTTTTCAAATAGTGCCATGGGTTCTTTAACATCCAGCTGAACAGGCAGATGGGACCTTAGTTTAAGCGTGTTATCTGAAGAAAGGCATCCCCCATCAATGCAGCACAGCCCTGGGCCTGCATTACTGCATTGGAGTGACAGCCTAGACTGCGAGTTCAAAATTCCGACATGGGGCTTGAACCTCTAATATGCTGACTCGGAGGCGATAGTACTATCAATTGAGCCAGGCTGGCACCTTAAAAACACTTACGAAACTCACGATGTAGGTTGCAAGAAACATTTGCTTAGCCTGACCTTCAATTCAGGTCTAAAAGCCTTCAATTCATTTACATAGTGTGGTTAGCAATATCTTATTTAGTCACCTTATCACTGTAGCTTATTAACCAAGAATTCTGATACTCTGATTTTGAAAAATGAAGGTTAAAACTAAGATACAACAACAACAACTTGTATTTATATAACACCCTTCATGCAGGGTAGCATCTCAATGCGGTTTGTGATGGTATGAATATGCATATGGGATTGGAGAAAAGGCAGAGGAATGCAATTTAAAGATTGGGAAGTTAACACCTGCAGATACAATAGACTGGACAGCTTCCACCTGAGCTTAAACTCTCTGCAATTCCATAATAGCATTGAGAAATGAGACACTGAGCAAAATGCTCTTGGCAGTCAGCAAACATCTTGTTTACTTGCTGTTGACCAAAGCACTTGTCTCACCAACATCAATTGTAAAATGAAAATGATACCATGAAATGTTTACAAAGCTGGAAAGTCATGTCATGTTTTAAAAAATAATTTTACCACCAGCAAACCCAAGAAAATAGCTTAATTGGGAAACTTTTGAAGCAATCTTTGCAACTAGATCCCAGCAATGGCAAAGGTAGTCAGATCAAAGTTTCTCTTCAGCCCAGGACAGATTATAACCACGCTGAATCTGAGCATCCAGAAATCAGATTTGATGATTATGGATTTGTAAATGTGGCAGACACTTGGCCGACCAACAAAAGGTGGAAAAATACACCAACGCAGACTTGATGGACTGAAGGGTGTATTTCTGTTCATCCTTACAGACACTATTGACTAACTTCAATCACATTGCATTGCATTGCCTACTGCTTTACTGAGCTGCCATAGATTCAGAATCCCTCAACAATAAAATTAGAAATTAAATTTTTCAATTATTTTTGTAATTTGGGGAAAATATTTTCTCTGTGCAGTTTGCTTGGCAACAGAAATGTTAGCAAAGAAAGACCTTGCATTTTCTTCAATGCTTTGTCCTATTGAAACATCTCAAAGTGCTTCACATGTAATTACTGTCAAGTGAAAGGTCTGCTTTCATAAGTATAATGTCATGGAATCCTGAAAAGAAGGCACATGGGACTTTGGTTTAATGTCACAGTGAGTTGGTAAATTAAAGAATATGCATAGTTGTAAAGGGCATCAGTTTATATGTCACATGTGATGAATAAAGATTACACCTATAATAGGTAATTTATTTCTCTTATGAAACAGCAGCAACTTGCATTTATTTGGCGCCTTTCAGGCGGGGTAGAGTCTCAGAGAGCTACTCCAAGTGAAGGGTACTATATAAATGCAAATTGTTATTTGTCTGCATACAAAGCCACCAGGTTCAACACTATTCCACCACCACCCCAGTGTTGGTCTGGCTCAGTTGGTAGTGCTCTCACTTCAGAGTCAGAAAGTCATGGGTTCAAGCCCCAGGTCAGCACTCTGAACTCATCGTCCAGGCTGACACTCCGGTGCTGTCCTGGGGCAGTGTTGTGCTGTTGGGAGGTGCTATCCTTTGGTTGAGATATTAAACTGAAGCCATATTTGCTTGGTCGAGCGGATCTTAAGGATCCCAAGGTACGATTCTTTACGAAAACACCCCCAGCCAACATTGCCCAGATAAAATTGGTTTGTGGCTGTTTGTGGGACATTGCTGTGCACAAATTTGGCAGAAGTCGCCAAAAGCATAGTCAAAGACCAAAGACAAAGAACTTAGGTGGGATTTGAAAACCAAGAGGGTAATACTGAGGGATTTGGAGAGCGAGCTCCAGGGGTGGGGACAAAGAGGCTGAATGCTTGTTCGCTAGTGTTGGGGTGTAAGGGGGCTTGAAGCAAGCAAAGTAGAGTGAGTGCCCAGGGGAGTAGAGTTGTTGGGCATTACAGAGATATTTGAAGGACTGATGGGAGGAAGGGAACCTGTGCAAAGGATGGGGGTAACAGTCTCAATACTCAAAGTGAATATCTCTTAATTCGCAATCGATCCTCTAAACTCAAGCATCAGCAGAAAGTTCCTCCCTTTGAATCACAAAAGGATATCTATTTAAGATTAGGCGTTATCTTTACCACTGCAAAATAAAAGCTCCCAACTACCAGAGATAAGACGCCTTGGGAGGACAGATAGTGATAACAGGTACCATATTTTTTTTAAAAAAACGCCACTGAAAGAGGGCCAATTTATTTCCCCAATAATCACACGGGGCAACGTCTTGGGTGGGGGGGGGGGGGGGGGAGGGCTTGAATCTTACACCCGCGTCTTGAATACATATCTCATGCAAATGACCAGAGAAAATACGAAAGGAAAAGGGGGGGGAATGGTGGGGGGGGATGGTGTTGGGGGGGGGATGGTGTTGGGGGGGGGATGGTGTTGGGGTGGGGGGGATGGTGCTGGTGGGTGGTGGGGGGTGGTGCCGGGGTGGGGGTGGGGGGGGATGGGGGGGATGGTGGGGGATGGTGGGGGATGGTGGGGGATGGTGTGGGGGATGGGGGGGATGGGGGGGATGGTGGGGCTGGGGTGGGGGGGATGGTGCGGGGGGGGGGGGGGGGGGGATGGGGGGGGGGGGGGGGGGGGGGGTGGGGGGGGGGGGGGGGGGTGGGGGGGGGGGGGGGGGGGGGGGGGGGGGGGGGGGGGGGGGGGGGGGGGGGGGGGGGGGGGGGGGGGGGGGGGTGGGGGGGGGGGGGGGGGGGGGGGGGGGGGGGGGGGGGGGGATGTGGGGGGGGGGGGGTGGGGATGATGGGGGGGGATGGTGCCGGGGGTGGGGGGGGATGGGGGGGGGGGGATGATGGGGGGGGGATGGTGGGGGGGGGGGATGGTGCGGGGTGGTGGGGGATGGTGGGGGGATGGTGGGGATGGTGGGGGATGGTGGGGGATGGTGGGGGATGGTGGGGGGATGGTGGGGGATGGTGGGGGATGGTGGGGGGGATGGTGCCGGTTGCAACTCCAGAATATATCAGCGTTAGAGCGGGAGTTGGTGCGAGTCGAGAGCTCTCTCTTACGGGTGAAGTGGGAGTCGTTCCTCTCTCCCTCCTCCTCCTCCTCCCCCCGGTGCCGGTCCCGGTCCCGGGGGCCGCCCTGGGTACCGTTCACAGTCCTGGTGAAGCTGCTGTAGCCGCGGTGGAGGGAGAACTGACAGACGTTGCGGTTCCTGTAGGTGCAGTCGAAGAGATAGCAGTGGAGGGCGGACCGCCCCGACCCCGACCCCGACCCCGGGCCCGAGCCCAGGCCCGACCCCGACCCCCGGCCCGGCCCTGACCCCCGGCCCGGCCCCGGCCCCTCCGGCCCCGGCTCCGGCTCCACCACGGCCACGGTGCAGTGCGGGCTGGCGCAGCAGGCGTGCAGGCACCGGCTCCAGCTGGAGACGGCGGGCGGGGCGCTCAGGAAGCGGGCCCCGGCGCTCAGAGAGTCCCTGGTCCGGATGATGTAGTCCTGCATCAGCCCGTAGCCGCGGACGCAGCTGTCGGCCGGGGCGGGGCCGGGGCCGAGGCCGAGGCCTGGGCCTGACCGGGGCCCTGGGCCTCCTCCACCGCTCCCCGCAGCTGTTTGCGGAACTCCTCCAACAGCTCCTCCACCCCCGACAGCTGCGAGCGCAGCTCCGACAGCTGAGGGGAGGCTCCCGCAGCCAAACCCAGGCCCAGGCCCAGCCACAGCCACGGCCACAGCCACAGCACAGCCGCCGGGGCCCCGCACCGTGTGAGCGGGGACATCAGGTTGCACAGCTCGGGTGGGATGGAGGGATGCGGGGGATACAGGGATGGGGGGGGATACAGGGATGGGGGGGTACAGGGATGGAGGGGATATAGGGATGGAGGGGATACAGGGATGGGGGGGATGCAGGGATGGAGGGGATGCAGGGATGGGGGATACAGGGATGCAGGGATGGAGGGGATGCAGGGATGGGGGGATGCAGGGATGGGGGGGGATACAGGGATGGAGGGGATGCAGGGATGGGGGGATACAGGGATGGGGGGGATGCAGGGATGGGGGGATACAGGGATGGGGGGGGATACAGGGATGGAGGGATGGATGGAAGCTGCGGCCCAGGTACAAAGCGAGCTGGAAGCTCTCACCTGCTCATCCCTCCCTCCCTCCCTCCCTCAGGCACAGGAAGCAAAGCCAGGACCAAGCTGATCAATAATTAATCCACTCACACACACACACTCACACACACACACTGTGAGAGGAATGACAATTCGGTTAAAAATCTGCCCCCCTTCCCCTCCTCACTCCACCCTACCTCCTCCCTCCCTCCCTCCCCAGCAAAGCTCAGGGACATCCACCTCAGCCTGTGATCTGTCTCGGAAATGAAGCAGGAAAAAAAAGGGGGAGCAGGAGAGGCAGACACGGCGAGATCACATGGACAGCCCGGGCGGGGAAGGTGGGGGCAACTTGTAGAGTGGGGGAATGGGATTAGAAGACGTCTCGGTTGTCCACATCAGGGATTCGTGGAGTCCCGGAGCGTAATGGTTGGTTCGCGCGCTCAACTCGCAAGCGAGAGGACCCCGGCTTCGGTTCCCAGGCAGGGAGAAACCTTCGGCGAGTTTCCTTACTGCCAGGGCTTCTGTTTATCGAGCAGTAAGTAGAAACAGGTTGTTAAGTCAGTCGGCGGATCGTTTTCCGGGAATGGTGAAAACCTCCAAAAGAAAATGCGGTCACTCAATTCACGACTGTTTGTGGCACACTGCTGTGCGCAATGGGCTGCCGCAAATCACCACAAAATACACAGTAAAATACACTTTACGCTGTATTCTGTGAAGCGCTTTGAGACATCGCAACAATATGATAAGGTGCTATATCAAGTGCAATTGTTATTATATATACTGGGATCCCACAGTCCACGTTGGCACTACAGTGCAGTGCTGGGCAGAGCGTTGGTTTATTAGAGGTGCCGTGCTTCAAATTTTAGGTTAAACTGAGGTCCCGCTGCTTGTTAAGGTCGACATTAAAGATCCCGTCATACTATTTAAAAAGAGAAGGGCGTTTCTCCTGGTGCCCTGGCCAACAATTTCCCCTGAATAAAAATTAGTGATTCACTTCATGGCTGTTTGTGGGACGTCGCTGTATGCAACTTGGCTGCAGCATTCGCCTACAAAATACACAGCGCTCCCAACTTGAAAGGTGCTACATCAAATGCAAGAATTATTGCATATTATTGGCAGTGTACATACTCCAACAATAGCTTGCATGTACAACAGCTTTTAGGTAAAAAATGTTTCAAAAGCTTTACAAAATTTAAAGAGATTTACTCTATGTATCTTTTCAGACTGCACAGATTTTGACAAAAATGGTTAGCTTCAGTCTTAACTTCAAAGCTAATTTTCTGTAGTTCTTAAAAGAAGTTTCAGAACAACGGCTTCAAAATTGAGAATTTGCCAAAATCTGGATGCTCTGAAATAAAACCATAGAAATTTACACCACAGAAGAAAGCCATTCAAGAGCAATCCTTTTCAGTCCCATTTATCTGTTGTTTCCCCGTACTCCTGTAGTTTGCTTGAAATGCTAAAAAAAATCTACACCCATAATTTGGGAAACTTCCCCCATAATTTGCTCAGAAACTCCCTTCTTTTTTTAAATAGTGCCATGGGATATTCAGTGTTCATCTGAACAAGCAGGAAAGGCTTTGGTTTAGTCCAAAGGACAGATTAGATTGTTGTCAATGTTTGGGGGGGCAAGTGGACATCTGACACAGTCGAAAACACATCACCTCACTCTTGTCTCCAAACCAAACTACTGAATGTTATATATATGAATGGTTACATTTGGGTTTCATTTGAGCTCCTGTTTTAAATAAAACTTTGGTTGGAGTTTCTTGCCATCCTGCTCAGTGTAAGTGAAACAATACAATACAATTTTATATTTATATAGCGCCCGTCTCACGGAGTAGCCTATCAGAGCACTTGAAGGATGTTCCAAGGCACTTAACAGAATTGGCTAGGAACCCAAGCTGGGGTTGGGAGCCAAGGGTGGTGGGGAGAGCAAAGGTGATCGAAACTATAATCAAAGAGGTAGGACTTGAGACAGTCCTTGAATGAGGTGAGGGAGGGAATCAGAGGGACTTCGGGATGGAGTTTCAGAGAGAGGGGACAGAATGGGTGAAAGTCTGATGGTAGGACGGGTTGGACGGGGGACTTGAAGCAGAGTCTTCTTCAACTCAAATCATTGGGAGTCAGAGGCATATGAGAAAAGGCAATAATGAAATGTTAGCTACCAACCGGGAATTTGTTACTTCTTGTGTGATCATAGGTTGACTGTCCTGCACAAGTGAGACATTTTAAACACAGAACTTTTACACACCTTATTTCAAATAATATTCATAGTTAAGTGCTGGAGTCTATAAGATTTTTGTTTTCAAAAACAAATCTCGCTTCCCCTGGATCTCCTGAACACTTTTAACTCTTTGTTTTCATTCCATTGGGCTGTGGTGCTACAGGGGCCATTACCCAGTTGAATTTTGCCCTTAACCTATTTGTAGTGGATCTTTTGTGACCTTGACTGAGATCAAAGTAACTGACGTGACCGCACTGGTATCCCATTTACGGTCAGGCTGGACTACATCGAAGTCCTTGGCATCTGGTTCGGGGCCACGGGGGCCAGGCTCAAAAGTGGGAGGAGCGTCTAGAGATGGTGAGGAAGAAACTGGGAATGTGGCGCCAGCGCTCACTGTCCATCACCGGGAAAAACCTGGTGATCAAGTGTGAGGCTTTCTTGGTGCTGCTGTACGTGGCGCAAATCTGCCCCGTATCACCATCCAGCGCCGCAAAGGTCACCCGAGCAATCTTCCACTTTGTTTGGGGATCCAAGGAGAAGCGTGTCCGCAGGACCGCACTCCTCAAGACCCTGGATAAGGGAGGCAAGAGTGTCCCCAATGTAGCCCTGATCCTCATGGACACCTTTGTGTGTAGCTGCCTGAGGCTGTGCCTGGAGCCCCGCTACGCCAGCAACAAATGCCGCTATGTGCTAGGCTTCTACCTGTACCCAGTGCTGAGAAGGATGGGTCTAGCAGATCTGCCTCGGAACACCCCACACAGCTGGAGCATGTCAAAACACCTATCGTACATTGAGAGCTTCACGTCTCACAACATCGCAGACCCAGTGGTCCATACGAGAATTAGTGAGGACCATCAGAGAGGGGGAGGGGATGGACCTGAGAGAGGGTTACCCCAAGGAGACTGTCAGACAGGTCTGGCAGAACGTCTCGTCACCGGCCTTGTGCAACAAACATCAGGACACGGCCTGGCTGACTGTAAAAAGGCACTCCATGTCAAGTCTTTTTTGCACCGCCGGGGCCTCTCTGCCACCATATGCTGCCCTCAGGACGGTTTTGGAGGTGAGGAAATGGTGGAACACCCCTTCCTGGAGCACAAGTATGCAATGGCCACTGGGAATAGATGGAAGCACTGCTCTCGCGGTTCATCCCTGGGGACCCACTGTCACAGCACTCAGTGCTGTACAGCCTCTTCCTGGGGTTGCACAGCAGGACTGACATCGAGTGCAACTGGAGAATCATCAGCCCGGTGAAGGGCTCAAACTGTTTACTTTCCTGTTCTGAGATGAAGATAGTGTTGTTACTGCGTTTGTGACCTTGTTAATCATATTATTAGGGTTCAAGTTGTCTATGGCACTTAGCATCTCAATGAATTCAATACGATCTCCTCTGTGATCTCTTTATGAAGAGTAATTACATTTATTCTTACATTCATTTGAATGGATTGTGCTTTGATTGGTGACATCCAATTTCGTCCCAGCAATGACCCTAGGTCTATATAAACCCTAACACTGTTCTCTGTGGGTGGGTGCTCTAAGCTTAACAGTACCATCACAACAAAATCAATTATATGTGTTCCTGGAGAAAAGTTAGATTTTCATCATGGGATTTTTATTAAGTCCATTACCCTTTAACAGGCTTATTTTCACAGTGCTGCTTTGTGTTGGATATTAAATTACAGAGAACTTCAACCAGTACAAATTATATGAATGTTGGACCAACATGACTGTTTTCTTAAAATACTGTTTACAACAACTTGCATTTATGTAGTGCCCTTCACAAAGGATAACATCATGATGACTGAGTCTGATACCAAGCAAGGAAGAAGAGGAAGGGGGAGATTGCCATAGGGGTGGTTGAAGTCTAACATTATAATAATAATCCTTGCATTTGACATAAAGCCTCGTCATATCCAGGCATCTCAAACCGCTTCACAAGATTTTACTGTGAAGTGTAGTGACTGTGTATTTTGTGCACGAACGCAGCAGTCAATTTGTGCACAGCACTGTCCAAGAAACAGCCTAGAAATGAATGACCAGTTTTAATGGGAGATTGTTGGCCAGAAAACTGGTAGAAACGCCTTTCTTTTTTCGAATAGTACTACGGGATGATCAACATCCACCTGGACAGGGAGTCGGGACCTCGGTTTAACGTCTCATTCAAAGGGCGACACCACTGACAGTGCACTTGATTGAACATAAGAACATAAGAATTAGGAGCAGGAGTAGGCCATTCAGCCCCTCGAGCCTACCCCGCCATTCAATAAGATCATGGCTGATCTAACTCCACTTGCCCGCTTTATCCCCATATCCCTTAATTCCTTTAGTTCCTTCTCTTCAACCGTGCCTTCACCCCCCCTCGACTCTCTACCCCCTCCTCGCCCCCCTCCCTTCCCTCCCCTCCCCCGACCTTCTCCTCCTGCTCTGGTCCCGACCCAACTGTCCAGCGCCTTGGGACGTCCTCCCGACGTGAAAGGCGCTCTATAAATGCAATCTTGTTGTTGTCGTTGTCGTCGTTGTATCAACAAGAAATCCACCAATCTCGGCCTTTGACCTGAGCCCCCTCAGCCCCTCCCTCCCGGCCCCCTCCTCTCTCCCCCCAAACCCTCCCCCCTCTGCCCCCTCTGAACTCTCTTCCCCCTCCTCGCTCCCTCCCTTCCCTCCCCTCACCCTGACCATTTCCCCCCAATGCTCGGGTCCTGACCCAACTGTGCAGCGCCTTGGGACGTCCTCCCGACGTGAAAGGCGCTTTATAAATGGAATCTTGTTGTTGTTGTTGTTGTTGACATCGGGGAGCGTCACCGTAAGACTATATGGGTTCCAATTCCCAACTTGAGGCCGAAACCCTCCGCCTTCTGCCTCGGAGGCGACGGTGTTAAAAACGTATGATGGTCTCGGGGGGGTAAAAAAAAATGACTCTTGAAGGTACCAATGCCAATCTTCGCCTTTGCTGGATCACTGGATCACTCCACTTCGTGGAGTCCTGTAGCTCAGTGGTTAGAGCACTCGCTTTGCAAGTGAGAGACCTGAGTTCAATTCCAGGCAGAGGGCGAAACCTTGGGCAAGTTTCCTTACTCCACACAGAGCCTAATAATAATCCCTCCAAAACCCAAAACAATAATAAATTGGTCATTTTCAATCTACGACTGTTTGTGGGACATTGCTGTGCGCAATTGGCTGCCGCGTTCGCCCACAAATATACAGTCAATTCACTTTACAGTGTGTTCTGTGAAGCGCTTTGGGACGTCCTCCCGACGTGAAAAGCGCTATATCAAATGCAAGGATTATTATTATTATTATTATTATAAAGTAAAGTGCAAACGAAGAGCACGAACGTCATGGGGGGGAAAAAAAAGGGATCTCCAAAAAAAAAGAAGAAGAAAGGTGCATTGGCTAAAACGGCACAGCACTGTTTTTTTTTGTGTACTTGGTTGAACTACAGAGGGCGTTTTTACACGCAAACTCCCATTTAGGGGGTGGTATCTGAGATGCTTTGCATCAGTGGGTGGGGAGGCTGAGACAGGAGTGGATTCGTCCAGTTTCCACCCCGAAGCAGATTTATATCCGAAAAGCAACGCCGGGGATCGTTGAGGGAGACGTGCATTTGCCACGCGGGTGTGTGGCACGAAGCCCCTGCCCTGCACTGCCCTGCCCAGTCCCTGCCCTGCCTTGCACTGCCCCTGTCCTGCACTGCCCCTGTCCCTGCACTGCCCCTGCACTCCCCCTGCCCCTGCCCTGCACTGCCCCTGCACTCCCCCTGCACTGCCCCTGTCCCTGCACTGCCCCTGTCTTGCCCTGCACTGCCCCTGCACTCCCCCTGCACTGCCCCTGTCCTGCCCTACACTCCCCCTGCACTGCCCCTGTCCTGCACTGCCCCTATCCCTGCACTGCCCCTGTCCTGCACTGCCCTGCACTCCCCCTACACTGCCCCTGTCCTGCCCTACACTCCCCCTGCACTGCCCCGCCCCTGCCCTGCCCTGCCCTTGCCCTCCCCTGCCCTGCCCCTGGCCGAGGACCTGACGGTGCGCGGTGGCCGCGGTGCCCCGGGAGCTGGAGCCCCCGCACGGGGCTGGCGGGGTGAGCGCGGCTGATGAACGAGGAGCCGCCGCCTGGGATGGGAGAGACCGACTCGGCGCCGGCGACTGGGGACATGGCAGCCACCGGCACCGGCACCGCGCAGCCCCCGCCCCGAGTCTTCTTCCAGCTGCCGGGCTGCAGCCAGGACCCCCCCGGCCAGAGGAGGCAGGGCAAGGTCACCGTCAAGTACGACCGCAAGGAGCTGAGGAAGCGGCTGAACCTGGAGGAGTGGATCATCCAACAACTCCACCACCTGTACGACTGCGATGTGAGTGAAGCGCTCTCTCTCTCTCTCTCTCGCGCGCGCGCGCGCGGGGCCGCGATCCGCGCTCCGCTACACCGGCCTCCGCTGCCTTGCTCGGCAAGACGGCAGGCGGGCAGGCAGGCAAGCTCACTGACTGGCTGGCTGGCTGGTTGGCTGGCTGGCTGGCTGGTTGGCTGGGTGGCTGGCTGGCTGGTTGGCTGGTTGGCTGGCTGGCTGGCTGGCAGGCAGGCTGGCTGGCTGGTTGGCTGGCTGACTGGCTGGCAGGCAGGCTGGCTGGCTGGTTGGCTGGGTGGCTGGCTGGTTGGCTGGGTGGCTGGCTGGTTGGCTGGTTGGCTGGCTGGCTGGTTGGCTGGCTGGCTGGCTGGCAGGCTGGTTGGCTGGGTGGCTGGCTGGTTGGCTGGGTGGCTGGCTGGTTGGCTGGCTGGCTGGCTGGCTGGCTGGTTGGCTGGTTGGCTGGCTGGCTGGCTGGCAGGCTGGCTGGCTGGCTGGCTGGCTGGCTGGTTGGCTGGCTGGCTGGCTGGTTGGCTGGCAGGCTGGGTGGCAGACTGGCTGGCTGGCTGGCTGACTGACTGGCTGGCTGGCTGGCTGGCTGGCAGGCTGGCTGGCTGGCTGGCTGGCTGGCTGGCAGGCTGGGTGGCAGACTGGCTGGTTGGCTGGCTGGCAGGCTGGCTGGTTGGCTGGCTGGCTGGTTGGCTGGCTGGCTGGCTGGCTGGCTGGTTGGCTGGCTGACTGGCTGGCTGGCTGGCTGGTTGGCTGGCTGACTGGCTGGGTGGCTGGCTGGCTGGTTGGCTGGCTGGCTGGCTGGCTGGCTGGTTGGCTGGCTGACTGGCTGGTTGGCTGGCTGGTTGGCTGGCTGGCTGGCTGGCTGGCTGGTTGGCTGGCTGACTGGCTGGCTGGCTGGCTGGTTGGCTGGCTGACTGGCTGGGTGGCTGGCTGGCTGGTTGGCTGGCTGGCTGGCTGGCTGGCTGGCTGGTTGGCTGGCTGACTGGCTGGCTGGCTAGCTGGTTGGCTGGCTGACTGGGTGGCTGGCTGGCTGGTTGGCTGGCTGGCTGGCTGGCTGGCTGGCTGGACACCTTGGTGGGTTTCACCATAACTTTGTTCTTATAAGCAGAATCTTTCCTGCTACAGATCTCACGTGGAGGTCTCACTCTGACTACACACGCGGTGTTTAATTCCTGGTAATGGATCGAAATAGTTCAAACAGAATCAACCATTATGCTTATTTATGTTAAATTGTCAATTTTCTACCAAAATGCAAAGCAAAAAAAGTCTCTTTGATAATTGGATACCGGGTCGTTGGTTATTTGTGGAGTCCTGTAGTGGAGTCCTGTAGCTCAGTGGTTAGAGCACTCGCTTTGCAAGCGAGAGACCCGAGTTCAATTCCAGGCAGAGCGATACCTTGGGCAAGTTTCCTTACTCCACACAGAGCCTAATAATAATCCCTCCAAAAAACCCAAAACAATAATAAATTGGTCATATTCAATCTACGACTGTTTGTGGGACATTGCTGTGCGCAATTGGCTGCCGCATTTGCCCACAAATATACAGTCAATTCACTTTACAGTGTGTTCTGTGAAGCGCTTTGGGACGTCCTCCCGACGTGAAAAGCGCTATATCAAATGCAAGGATTATTATTATTGTCCTGTTTCTTGGTATTTCTGGATTTTTTTAAGTACTTTTTTTTAAATGCAGTTATAAAATTGGTTCTTGGTTGTTTTATTTCCATGCTTTGTTGCGGACTATTAGCCCCTCAGTGTTTCATTTCCAACATTACTTTTATTTACCAGGACGCTAAAACAAATTGCAGTAATAATATGCCTTTCGCATTTGAAGTGATTACTTTTTTGTTATTTGTTTAATCCAGTGTATTGTGAAATTGACGAGACCTGGCGTGCACGATATCATTAAATAAGGATTGTTTGTACATTGAACCCTCTTGTAGCAAACAAAACAGTACTTCAGTAAGTGGACTCCAAACTGCAGCTCTCCATGGTACTGTATAATTGTGTGGTACTCAATTATCATTTTACATTTTGATTTCACGCCATCCTCTAACCCTCTAGTATCTTAGACTACTCTTATCTCCTATTCACTGAAGGCTTAATGGTCAATATGTCTTTATTATCTGTTCTCACTCGCCTTGCTCAAGGTGCTTTAACCTTTTTACACCTTGGCGAAGTGTAATTCCCTTGTCTCCCTTGAATATACACCGCAGACTGCACTGCACTAAAATAAAGCTGATATTGGATGACCTGCTGAGGACTAAAGCTTTGCCCCACTATGCAGCATAGCAATAGGTCATATGACATTTTATACTTATTTTTTAGCATTAATCGTTTGCATATTTTAAGGGTAATAAAGTAGCACGGTGAGGCTAGAAAAAAAATGCTAAAACCAGTACCATTTTATGATTTTTTAATTCAGTTTTAACACGACAATTTATGCATCTGGAAAAAAAACTTGATTTTTTCCATCTGCATGATGTGTAGTAATTGCAGTAATAATATGCAAGAGCTAATAATTGGGGAGAGGAGGTTGGTTTGGGGTAATAAATGAGGTAACCAATATTGCTACTAGGTAACTGTGTGAAGCTACTGAAATCAAAGCTGAGAAGATATTTGGATGGCTTTGTAGATGAAGGAGAGGGATGGGAGAAGGAAATATAGGCAATGGAAGTGACTCGAGCTCGAGGCGGAAATCAGTAATAGGACAGGTTGCTCTAAAGATCTTCACAGGAAGGGAAATGACAGTGGGTAGTGGTGGAAGACTCCATTGTGGAGCATTATCTATAATTATGTTAACACTTTTTAGGGGGAGAAGGCCAACTCTTCAGGCTTCTGGTTACCAGAGTGTGTAGTCAAATGCTGAAGATCAATTGAAATTGTATTGGGAGAAGAAAACACTGAATATGTAGATAATGAATAGACACTGAATAGACAAATAATCCTTCCATTTGATGCAGCACCTTTCACATCAAGAGGACATTGCAATTGCTTCACAGGATTCACTGCATTGTTTAGTCCTTGGAAATAAGGAAACTTGCCTAAGGTTTCACCCCGCCCGGGAATCAACCCATATCCTCTCGCTTGCGAGGTGAGCACTATGCTAACAGGACGCCTCACAAATTGCAACACCAGGCAAAGCTTTGAAAGAGACCGCTAATATGTGAGAGGCCTTGAGAGGGGATTCAGTCACTATGGAAGGCTGGCAAATAGCAGGGCAGATGGAGGGGGAGGTGTAGAGGGCGAAAGAATCAAGGCAGAACAAACGTTACTCCGAACATAACTTCTTTTCAAAACTCCAGTAAAAAGAAGATCCTGGCTTTGCAAGAATTTTTTTTAACTAAACGGATAACTGTGTCTGTTTGGGATGGACTGGGCCCACATCACATCTTCAGTCTGGTTTTCGGAACTCTTTGTCCTGATTGCACAGCGTCTTGTAGCTTCATTACTACATCTGTCTTCTCCTCTCCTCGGCCTCTCAGTCTCCCATGGTTCAGGTTGACGTTAGGTGTGAGGAGCCGGTGAATGGTGAATGAGGGGGTGGTTGATGGGTGTGGGAAGAGGCGGGAGGTTACCTGTGTATGCGTGTGTATGCATCTTGAATGTTAGACTGCTTCAGGGGGTAGTGGAAATCTTATGACTAGAACTTGTACTAGCTATATCGGTGTCAAATACTAATTCTTTTGTTATTAATAATTCCTTCAAAAAATAATAATATTAATAAACTTGGTCACTTCAATCATTGTTTGTGGGACACTGCTGTGCACAATTGGCTGCCATATTTCGACCACAAAGTATACAGTCAATGCTATTTATAATATATTCTGTGAAGCATTTTGAGACATCTTGAAAATAAGGTGCTATATCAAATGCAAGGATTATCATTATTATTACGCAGCCCATCATCTGTGGCCACTCAACAGACATACGAATACACTTTTTTCTGAACTTCTGTTCATTACCTGCCTGCCTGAGCTGGACTTTGTGTTATTTTCTCTTGTTTTTTTTGCTCTGAAACAAAGGAAATCCATGGGTTTAGAGCACCCACATTCATGTATGTTGCAACATTTAAGTTACATTTTAGGATTGTTGCTCTCCACACAGATTGGTGCATTTCCCTGTTATGCACAATGTTATGCATTGACTAATGCATTAAAAGCACTGCAATTCCAGATCTGATTATTTCTCAACCTTGTACGAGCTATAAGATTATCTCCCTGTACCTGATTAAGTCTTAATTCTACACAAACATAAAGCATGAATGACAAAAGGCCATTCCTTGCTGTCCATCAAGTCTCCTTCCAAAGATAGCACGCTTGCCCTATCGTAAACTCCATTCTGTCTTACAGGGCCATGTTCTCCATTGATATTCCTCAATTTTCATAGGTTATCAAGTGGCAGAATATTAAATCATCCCATAATCTCTACTATTGAGGTTGACCTGCCCCCCCCCCCCCCCCCCCCCCACCACTCATCAGTGCTGAACTGTTTAGTCCTATAATGGACAAGCAGTGGGAAGCTTGCCAGACGGTGCTCTTTATGGCAGGCTATGCAGTTTTAGCTGGTTAAACTAAGCAGTACTTGCAACACACACTCTGGGGTCCCCAAGCCTTAGCTCACACAAACCTGCGCCTGTACTCTCTGGAATTAGGTAAGCAGGACGTGTCCTTCTGCGGCAGTGTGCACATTCCATTCACAGGGAAATTTGAAACTCTGTCTGGTTTGGATATTCTTAAGTACAATGATAGATTTTCACATGTGTCGGACACCTGGCTGACCAAAAAAAAACTGTCCCATGGAGTATTTTCTCCTCTTGGGCTATCTCCATCCCTATAACCTGACACACTATTCAGCCATTTCCTGAAGAAGTTAATTAACAAAACAGCCAGCTGCTTTTGCTTTTCAGAAATCCATCACTTGGGAGGGAGGAGAGTGAAATTTTTCAGGCGAGTTTTTTCTTGTGGCTCCAGATTATATGTTTGGATGATATATTCACCATTC